GGATGGATAAGCCAAGCTCTACTCAGATGGTGCAGGATGGCTGGGGAGTCACTGTGACCCTATTCCTACCTTGCTCCACTCTGCAGCAGAGGATGCTGCCTTTACTTGTAGGTCATCGTCAAAAAAAAGAAAGAAAAAAAAGCAATTTCCAGTTAAGGGAGGATGGCCGGTTAATTGGCAGAGCATGTATTGGACAATAGCCCAGAGGGGAGGGGGACAAATCAACCTGGGTCTCTTATGGCCTTTCCAATGAAAATGCATTCCAAAAGCAGAGCTGCGAACAATTTGTGCCTCAGGCCTATAGTACTAGTGTAGGTGGTTCAGTAATTTGATGTGATCACAGTCTATCCTTTTGGACTGGGGAACATCTGGAATTCCCCGGGGGAACTGTAGAGGTGTAGATGTCTCCAAGCCAAAGTTCCATGCTGTTCATTTTAGCAGCAAAACATCAAGTTGATTTGAACCAATTCGTGAGGAAAGCTTGTGATTTATTATTATTTTTTGCTTAGCTTTGCATTTGATGTGTTTTCATTGTTTTAGTCCCCTTTCAGGGAACTCCAGTACAGTACAAACCATATTCTACCTTGAGTAGGATGTTGGGATTTACAGATCAAAAACAGATGGGATCTTCTCATTTTCAGCCCATGAGCAAATAAGGCTTAAGTTGTCCTTAGCAATAGTGTGTAAAGGAAGAGCCTTGGTAGTACAGTGGTCTAAGGCACCCTGTTATTAAGCTGGTTATTAAGACCAGCTGCCTGCAATTACTGCAGGTTTGAATCTCGCCAAGGCTCAAGGTTGACTCAGCCTTCCATCCTTTCTAAGGTAGGTAAATTGAGGACCCAGTTGTGGGGGCAATAAGCTGACTTTGCATAAATATACAAAAGAATGAAGGCTATTGCTTAGCGCATTGTAAGCCGCCCTGAGTCTCTGGAGAAGGGCAGCATATAAATCAAATTAAAAAAAAAAATTCCCCTTTTTCTGATGCTGTTGAAAGGCAGCTTCAAGTTAAGTAAACCTTGAAGTTTACTTACTTCAAGTTAAGTAAAATCTCTGTTACCACCTTTGAGTAACATCAGAAGTTTGCAGCAATTGGGACCAGAGTAAATAGGTGCATAATAGAGATTGGAAACGGAGACAACAAATTTAGATCTGTTTTTTTCCCCCAACACAAGCATGATCTTGTGAGGGGATTATCCAGGCTTGTATTCTGATTTTTTGGATACTGTTGCAGTGTTTCAGTTTATTGTTAATATTTGAAGTTGTCACTTCAAAGATCTAATTGCTTTTTTAGTTATTGGCAGCAACCTTAATTAGATTATTGGATTGTCCCATCTTCTATATACTGGACACCACACTGATTCAGAAACTATCTATATGGGTTGGGTCCAGGGTGGATTTGATTTAAATTGAGTTGACTTAAATCACGATTTAAATCATGATTTAAATCACTAGTAAAAAGGCTTCATTTAAATCCGGCCCCCAAGCCTTGAGTTTGACACCCCTGACCTAGGGGAATCTCAGTCTTTCCAGGATAGAAGTGCCTTCCTTCTGAAGATGATTCCAAGTCTGCCTAAGCAGACGTCCGAGTTATTCTGAGTGGCGAAGAAATTATGTTCACCCCAGTGTTCAGCCACAAAACTAATGAAGTTAATAAATACTCAAGGCTAAGTCTAATTCAGCAACTTGTTCAAATGCTGAGTTTTTACCTGCTCTGATTAAAAATGTTGCTGTATGAATGCAAACATCCTTTACCACTAGAGGAGTAATTTATGCTGACGTGAAACTTTGCATTACTTTAAAATAATACAGTAGAAAAGAAAATCCTTAATACAACCACTCACTTCTTCCAGCCACCTAACCAAAGACAACTTCTAATAGCAACAAATGGCAAACTGCAAAAGTGAAGGAAGTGAAAAATAAGTTACATAATAGATGGAGACTGCGAAAATTCCAGCGCTCCGTCTCTGTCTCAAGACAATATTGCTAATATTTATCTCCACTTCAACATACTACAAAAGCACTAATGCTAAGGTCTTCTGTACAATGTAATATTGCTGCCATTAACTTAACCTCCATTTCTGCACAACAAAGTATTTCTAATCTTAACTTTCATCGTGTATTTTTCAACAAAAGTAAGTGCCTGTAAATTCTGTGGTTAAGTGTAACGAATGGGGGATAGTTATTTCAAGAGGATTTTTCAGAGTTGTATCTCAGCTATCCTCGCCATCGGGGTGGGTTTGATTTAAATCGAGTTGATTTAAATCACAATTTAAATCATGATTTAAATCACTAGTAAAAAGGCTTGATTTAAATCAACTCAATTTAAATCATAATTTTTAAAGAGCAACTGTCATCTCTGCTACTCCTTTGACCCATTGTTGACTCACCGATAGTCCCAGTGTTGCAGAATATACAGCCTCATGCTACATAACTAAGCTCCATTTCATGCTGAATAAACTAAATTATTTATTTATCTTAAATAGAAAACTATCTTACGATAGATTTTTACCCCCAAAGTTTTTTATTAAAATAAATTCGATAAAAATGAAAAAATCCGATTTAAATAAAAAAATCCGATTTAAATCCAAAAAATCTGATTTTTTTGATTTTTTTAAAAAAATCATTGATTTTTATCCACCCTGTTCACCATACTACTTTCCTGAGAAATGCCTGATTTCAGATGAAATGGGGTCTCCTCGTATAGTATGGGAATTCCAATTTCTGACCTATCCAATTTGTGGATCTATAATTGCTGCTGCTACTACAATATAAATAAGTAAGAGATGCCATCCACCACATAATTCTAATTGTTCTTTAACACCACAGACATGAAACTCTCCATATATATTTTCCTGAGATAACACCATTTACAGATGGCCTTCATTTAGCAACTACATTTGGGAGCAGCAACTGGGTCGTTAAGCAAAGCAGTCACTAAGTAAAACTGCAACTTTGCTTATCTTCAGTTTTCCTTTCCTTTTACAGACCCGTGAAAGTTGTAAATGTGAGGATTGATTGAAAAGTTTCTTTTTCATCACTGTGGTAACTGCAGTGGTCACTAAACAAGGCAGTTTCGAAGCAAGGACAGTTAATTTAATTCAAATTTAGCTTTCCTCTGGCTTCTCCTCTTTTTGGAGCAGGGCTCCTGGTATGTCACCTCAAGGGCAGGTGCTGCCCTTGAAACAAAAGTTGTGTGCTTCCATCCTATGATATGAGGTAGAATCATAGAATTGGAAGGAGCCATTTGGGCCACCAAGTTAAAAGTATCTGAGAGAGATAGCTGTTTAGTCTCCTCTTCCACATAACCCATCAACCCTCTAGGTAATTGGCTCCACTATTGAATTGCTCTTAGGGTTAGGTTAGGAAGTTAGTTTTTTCTAATGTTTAATTGGAACTTTGAATCAGTCTTATAGCTTACTCTCTAGAACAGTGTTTCTCAGCCTGGCTGGGGAATTCTGGTAGTTGAAATCCAAACATCTCAGTTGCCAAGGTTGAGAACACTGCTCTAAACTGAGAGTGTACAAGTATTGACCTTCTATATATCCTTTCAGATATTTGAAAAATGCTAGCATCTTTCCCCTCATTATTCTTTTCCTGACTGGAAACATTCTCGACTCCTTCAGTCTTTTCATAGGGCTTAATTTTATTCCCTCTGTTGTTCATTCGTCCAGTTACTCTGAGCCATTCTGAAAGTATGGTGTTGTTCAGGTCTGAGTTATAAGTAGAGGTAGTCCTCAATTTACAACCATTTGTTTAGTAACTGTTCAAAGTTACAGTGGCACTAAATCCCGGGGTCACCTTTTGCGACCTTCTGACAAATGTGAAAAATGGTCATAAGTCACTTTTTTTCAAGTGTTGTAACTTCGAATGGTCACTAAATGTAGAACTACCTCTATGTTGAGAAATGGATATTGTCAATCCTGAAGCTACCCTGACAGATAAACTACACTTTTCATTTTAGGTGCAAGGAAGCTATTTGCCTAATTATTTAAATCAGGGGTGCCAAACTCAATTTCATTGAGGGCCCCATCAGGGTTGTGTTTAATCTCAGGGGGCCAGGGTGGGCGTGGCCAGGGTGGGTGTGGCCAGTTTGACGTCACTTGTGTCGGGGGTGCTTGTGGTGGCCTGAGCACTCTGCTAGTGAAAACAGGCTCCCGAGCTCCGTTTTTGGCTGCCTTGGCCTCCTGCAACCCTCTGCCAGTGAAAATGGAGCTCGGGAGCCCATTTTCGCTGGCAGAAGCACTGCAGGCCAATCTTTTTCTGTTTCCAGGGTGGCCCTGCAGGCCAGATCAAAAGAGTCGAGGTGGCGCAGTGGTTAGAGTGCAGTACTACAGCTACTTCAGCTGACTGCTAGTTCAGCAGATCACCGGATCAAATCTCACCGGCTCAAGGTTGACTCAGCCTTCCATCCTTCCGAGGTGGGTAAAATGAGGACCCAGATTGTTGGGGGCAATATGCTATTTAGTATACTGTCTTTGGTGTAAGCTGCCCAGAGTCCTCGGAGAGTAAGCGGCATAGAAATATGACTAATAAAAATAAAAAAATAATAAAAAATAATACCTTGCAGGCCGACTCCAGTTCCCGGGTCTTGAGTTTGACACCCCGATTTAAATGATTGCCCTGATGCACACACATCACCCACACCTACGACTATGTTGGGGGCAATATGCTATTTAGTATACTGTCTTTGGTGTAAGCCGCCCAGAGTCTTCGGAGAGTGGGCAGCATAGAAATAATAATAATAATAATAATAATAATAATAATAATAATAATGATGATGATGATGATGATGATGATGATGATGATGATGACAAAAGCATTTTTGTTGTAGTAAGGAGTCACGTAAACACCACGGGCAAATATGCTTTGACTTCTGAACATGTAGGTTTGAGGCCAGAACCTTTGTGGACTTCTTGTGCACTTTTCTCTTTGATTTATCTGTCTTTTGCTCCTTTCACCCCTAATTCTAACACCTGCCCTGCCCAATCCTCTCGACTCAGGGAGAGGAGGTAGAAGGAACCATAGCTGTCCTGGAAGACTCCAAGGAGATGCAGCCCAGTGAAACAGAGATGCCTTTTGCTGGTGCCCTGAAAGAGGATGCTAATCCCAGCCACTTTGGGCAGGCTGAAGAGCCTGCCAGCATCCCCCAGGAGCACACAGTAAGAACTTTGCATACACGATGGAATTTTCCCTCAGTTTTCCTCTGCAGACCCCAGTTTACTCCCTATTCCCCCAGTCTGGGTTCTTGCCCCTAGCATATGACTCTTCTTTTGAACTATCCTTCATTTTCCCAGTACTGCAAATGATAATCTGCATGTATTATTTACAGATCAAAAGAGGCTCCATGATTCTTCCCTTTCCTGTCTGGAATTTGTGGATGGTGAATTAAGTGTCAAGGATATTCAAGTGACATGGCTGCATAGTAGTTAGTTGTAAAAAACAAAAACAAACCCTTTTTGATTCTGAGTGATCCCAGAATGCTCTTGTCAGGAAATACTGACCCTGAAAGAGGATATTTCAGTAACAACCAATTAAATAAGCAAGTTAAGAGTTGCCCATATGCGTGAATAAAAAGAAAGAAGAACTTCTTGCTGCTTTTGAGTCAGTCACTGGAAAGGGAAGGATTTTGGAGCACCGTATTAAAAATCAATACTACATCATGAATGAAGACCTGCAAATATAGCAGGATGGAAAGATAGCTGAAAGGATATGACACTCAGGTCCATCTCTTCACACAAGCATTGTTTTCTGTTTTTGTTCTCTCCCGCACTCTCTCCTGCCCAGATAAAGCACTTTCTGAAGGAAGACTCAGAAGAAGCTGAGCTGGTCCAGTTCCTTAACGATTCCCCAACAGAAAAGACCTTCCACCGGGTGAAGCCAGAAGCCATCCATCGGGAGAAAAGATCCAGTCCAGGTGGGACTGAAATGTTCCCTAGTGCTGCAATCCAGGCCATTCCCAAAGATGCCTTGGAGGAAAAGGAGCAGAAGGCCTTCTACCGCCCTCACCCTCTAGACTTGAAACAGCAACACATGGCTGCTCCAGCGCCGCCAAGTCCATCCCGTCCCAGAAGCCCCTGGGGCAGGCTTGACCCCTATGAATCGGATGAGGTAAAGCATCTCTACAGCATTTCTGTCAGCACCTTCCATCTTCCAGCCCAGTGGTGAAACCCAATTTTTTTTTACTGCCGGTTCTGTGGGCATGGCTTGGTGGGTGTGGTGTGGCTTGATGGGCGTGGCTTGGTGGGCATGGCAGGGAAAAGATACTGCAAAATCTCCATTCCCACCCTACTCCAGGGGAAGGAATACTGCAAAATCCCCATACCCTCCCCACTCCTGGGGGAAGGATATTGCAAAATCTCCATTCCTACCCCACTCTGGGGCCAGCCAGAGGTGGTATTTGCCGGTTCTCCAAACTACTCAAAATTTTCCCTACCGGTTCTCCAGAACCTGTCAGAACCTGCTGGATTTCACCTCTGGGTGAAATGCACTTACCTTCGCTGCCGGATTGCAAATGTGAGAGTGCGCCTCCTCCACGCAAGTGCAAAGCCTTCAAAAAGAGGGTCAAAAATGGACGTGATGATGTCTGGGTGAGTGGCCGGCCAGAGCCTCCCGCTGCCGGCCCTACCGGATCGTGCGAGCTGGATAGATCCGCCTGGATTTCACCACTGTTCCAGCCCCTTCAGAATCTCCCTTTTGTAGAACTGGACACAACAGGATTGTGGCCATGAATGTTTGAATGTACAGGAATAGTCAACCTGGATTCCTCCTCATCCTTTTTGATGGGAGTATTTTGCTTATGTCATGGAGTAAGCTGCTTCTAGAAGTAATGTTTTGCTGTGCTTCAAATGCTGTAGTAATGAAATGAGTGCCCCCAAATGATGCTTTTCAAGCTGGACATATCATTGCAGGGGTGAAATATAAAATTTGTTACTACCGGTTCTGTGGGCGTGGCTTGGCGGGGGGGGTGTAATGTGACTGGGTGGGCGTGGCCAACTTTTTTTTTTTTTAAACTTTTCAAAGCATTTTTTCTAATGCTTTGAAAAGCCTCTGTTGATCAGGCAACTCAGCTGGGATCGTCAGAGAGACTTTTTAAAAAATGCCTCTCTGCTGATCAGGCAACTCAGCTGGGATCGTCAGAGACTTTTCAAAGCATTTTTTTTACCACCTCTTCGGCCAAGAGGTTGCAGAAAAAAATGCTTTGAAAAACCTCTGAGGATCCCAGCTGAGCCGCGCGATCATCAGAGGCTTTTTTTTTTACTTTTAAAAGCATTTTTTCTTCGGAAGAGGTTGTAGAAAAAATGCTTTTAAAAGTTAAAAAAAAAGCCTCTGATGATCGTGCGGCTCAGCTGGGCATGGTGGTGGTGGTGGGGCGCAGGGATTTTTGCTACCGGTTCTCTGAACCACTCGCCGCCATCGCTACCGGATCGGGCGATACAGTCCGAACCGGGAGCATTTCATCCCTGTATCATTGGCATTCCCATGTTGAAGAAAGCACAGAAATAAAACAAGGGCTATTTTATTGATCAGTTGATGACTCACTGACATGAACAGTGGGTGTATAAATGCACAGAGGTCCATTTCCTGAGTCTTGTATAGAAGACTTATGTCATTCATAAAAAATACTTTAATAAAGAATGTTTCTCGCCAGTAACACAATTATTGTATTTACCTAGTGTGTTTAATCAAATCAAGTTAAAGGCTGAGTGGGTAAATTTGCACAGCATGTGAAGTTTAGTTACTTTTCAAAAGTTTATTTGTGGTGCAAAAACTAAGCCTATTTAATTAATGTTATTAGTGCATTATGTGAACTCGGAAATAGATTAATTCTGTAACCAAGTTAAATTTATTGCGTGAATAACTTTTAAAAACCTGTTTCAGACAAATGATTCTTGCAAAAAAGGCCTGGCAATTTGTAATACTGCTTTTCTCTCTCTCTCTTCTTTTTCCTCTCTCTTAGGATGATAAAGAGTATGTGGGATTTGCAACACTTCCTAATCAGGTCCATCGGAAATCTGTGAAAAAAGGATTTGATTTCACACTAATGGTTGCAGGTATCAATGCTGAAATTACAAGGGCTGTTTCAGGAGACAGTATATAATTGTTGCAGATTAAAAGCACATTATTCATGGCAAAGAACTATAATTAAAACTAAATTTCATTTGCCTTATGTTTAGATAATGTGTGTATAAAAGTCTAAAGGGAGAAGAAAATGCATTGTTGCATTTAATCTATGAGATCTTAGAAATAATTCCACAGTATTTTTTATTGGATTGGATTGTAAAGTTGGATTTCTTAGCACTCTTAGTGAACCTGTGGACAGTCTTAAGCTGTAGATACCAAAGAGCTAGAAATAGGAAGATTGGCTTTAACTATACAAACTAACTATGCAAATTGCCACTGATTGTTTTCTTTAAAGAATTCCTCTTTATCTAAAGCATTCCTCACATTTGCTGCTTTTTCCTTCAGAAAAACTGTTTCTTAAGAACTCATTTTCCTTATATGTAATATTAACTGTTCCTCCTCTTCCTCCTCAGGAGAATCTGGGCTGGGGAAGTCCACTCTGGTGAACAGTCTTTTTCTTACAGACCTATACAAAGATCGCAAACACTTAAATGCAGAAGGTATTTGTTTGTTTGTATGTATGTTCCTTTATGCTTCTTCCTTTCCAACTCTTAATACATAACACATATGCTGGCTGGGGAATTCTGGGAGATGAAGTTCATCCATCTTAAAGTTGACAAGTTTGAGAAACGCTGTCTTAGCAGCTCGCAAACAAAAAATATAATAATATAATTCAAAATGGAAAAAAATACAATAACTGTAAAACAAACAGCGGACAATAAGCCAAATCAAATAATCATAAAGCAAAATTATGTAGTGGTGATACTAAGCCTGAAAGATTCTCAACCCTCAGCTCCCAGAAATCCTTTGGATCATTGCCCCTTAGCTCCACTTCCTTTCTGTTGGTTAGTTACACCTGCAACCACCTGTCTTCCAGGAGGAAATCTTTCCTTGATGAGTCTGTGCGCCTTACCAGCTAGTAAAAATAAATTAATAAAATGAAATAGTTCCTCTATTGTTAGTCCTGACAATGTAGTGTGAGGGGGTGTGACTAAGGAAGTCAGTTTCCTTCTCCTTTGAAAGACAGATCAATTTTATAAGTTTGACAGAAAGTTTAATTTTATTTTTTTAAAACGAAAAGGAAAATGGTAAAAATCCCTTTTTTAATTTTAATCATGCACAAAACAAGAGTCAAGTAGAGAGCTGTGAAATCACAGACATCTCAAAAGAATCTCCAATAGGAAAACCATACAAAGCAGTCGATGAAACGGTATTGGTCTGTGGCCAATTCTGCAATATTCTGCAACAAATACTCCACGCTATTTCTAGCTCCTGTATGCATTCTCTGGATTTTTCAGATTCTGTTAAATACCAGCTTTTAATAAAAGATGCAGGAGCAATGCTCTTTTAAGCAGCCAAAACATTTCTAAACAATCAAAAGAAAGTGGAAATAAGAAAGGAATCTTATTTCTGGTGGAAAGGCATTCCATTAGAGATCTTATTCTTGCATAGTTTACATTTCAATTGATTTGGAATTTCGCAAATACACCTCCTCTGATTCTCCTTTTTCTATCTCGGGGACTAGAACGGATTGTCCAAACGGTGGAGATTACCAAGCATGTGGTAGACATAGAAGAGAAAGGGGTGAAACTTCGCTTGACTATCGTGGACACACCAGGCTTTGGAGATGCTGTAAACAACACAGAATGGTATGTCTCCCTGGAAAGTGGAAAGGAATTTGCCCGAGGAAAGCCTGATTGCAGAATCATGAGAAATTGTAGGGAGGGAATCCCATTAGGCGTTTCTTGCAGGGATGAGGTAACCCTTGGATGGAGGCCAAGACTATGGTAAAAATAATCTGCAAGAGACAAAGGCCAGCTGGCTGAAGGACAGGTAAATCCTGCTGCAGGCACTAGGAAGAAGAACTGAGACTTGCCCAAGAGGGAGTCTTTTTTTACATGCATTGTTCATCTGGGGCTCAGATATGAATTTTGAAGTCTAATAGTATTCATTAAAAAAAAATTAAAATCTGAACTAGAAAGGAATTCCTGTCTTACATCAGATCTTGAAAAAATTATATTTCCAAATGGCATCTCTGTTTTTTTCCTTTTCAACTCCCTAGGGATATAGATAAGAGAGAGGGTGGTATGGACAGAAAGAGGAAGGGGGCACCCTGACCTCAGGCTCTCTCTTTGCTTAAGCCATTGCTAATTTTAAAAATCACATGTTAGCACAATAATGCGTAGGATCATCCAACGCAGATTAGAGCCCTCCGTGGAAAAAGAGATGCCAGATGTTCAAGCTGGCTTTAGAAAAGGCTGAGGAACATGAGATCATTATTGCTGATGCACACTGGATGACACAGAAAGCCAAATACCAACAAGAAGTATTATGTTCTTCATTAGTTATAGAAATATCTTTGTTTAGATCACACCGAACTGTTGAATGTGCTTAGAAAAATAGGAATCACAGAACAACTCATAGTCCGTATGAGTAACCTACAGGTAGTCCTCGCTTACTGACTACCTATATAGTGACCAATGAAAGTTACTACAGTATTAAAAAAAATAACCTTGCCACCGATTTATGATTGTTGCAACGTTCACCAGTCATGTGATTGCCAATAGTGTGCTTCGTAACTGGCACACATTTTTGCTTGTGACAAGCAGAGCGAACACTGTGCAGTACAGAAGTACAATCTCATGAGAAGGCCACGTGTGATTTGGATTAGGTCACATATGATTTGGAAGAGGGGCTGGCACAGTCTCGGGAAGAAAACCTGGTACGGCCAGCAATTACCTCATGAAGGCCTACGCCAGGCACTTCAGTAGCAGCAGGAAGGTCAATTGAGGGGAGCAAGGCTGGGAAAAATGGCAGGAGCATTGAGTGCAGGACGGTGGGGTGAAAAGATGACTGGGCGGAGAGCAGGGTGACAGAGGTAGCATAATGCAAGGTGGCCAAAAGGGCAGAGATACGGAGGGAAATTGGTGGAGGTGGTGGGAGGAGTTGAAGAGGAGGCAGCCCCTTACTTACAAAGGAGGGACCAGGCCAGGAATGACTTAGATCAGGGTAGATCCTTTGAATCTTTGGGATTCAGTTAATCATAGAACTGGGATTGCCAGCATTGCCATCTCTAAACAATGTGATCACATGACATAATGTTTTGCGACTGCATCATTTAGCATTGGAACTCCTGGCCCCAGTTGCTATCGTAATTCAAGCACTTACCTGTATTGACTCTTTTCAACTTTGGTGTTGGAGAAGACTCTTGAGAATACTATGGAGAGTCAAGAAATAAACAAATGGATCATTGAACAAATCAACCAGAGTTCTTACTTAAGGCACAAATGACCTGGCTCAGTTATTCTATTTTGGGCACATTATGCGAAGTCCTAGCTCTCTGGAGAAGGCTCTGATCCTGGGAAAGGAGGAAGGAAAGAGGACGATCAACAGCAAGGTGAATGAACTTATTTACAGTGAGTGACAATGAGTGCACTGTTGAAAGACGTGGATGACCAAGTTAGGGACACATCTTTCTGGAGAAAATCTATCTATGTGGTTGCTAAGAGTCAATACCAACTTGATGGCGCATAATCAATTTAAATGTTTTTGAAAAGGTGGCTGAGAGCCTGTCAGATATAATTTCTTTCAAAATAACTCGAGCGGGGTTTGGGTTTTTTTTCGTTCCTGAGGTCATTTGATACCATATCAGTGGATAATTTGATTCCTGGTAGATTGAGTGAGCTGTGTTGACATGTAAGAGAGACTGTTACATTTCTGGAGTAGTTCTACTGATTTCTGAGCTACAGCAATTGTGAACCAGCAGGGAGACTTCTGAAGGGAAGGGAGATATTTAATCTTTATCTCCATAATGGCTTATCAGGCATGAACACATTAGAAGTCCTACTGAATTACTCTGAACAGCCCCTCCCCCCCAAGAAGAGATGTTCAAAATTTCACCCGTGCTTCCATCCTATCATGGTAGCATGAATGTGCCATTTATGGATGATCAGTGGAGAAGTGTGTGACTCACTCAAGAACTTATATTAAGACTAGCAGAGGTGGGATTCAAAACTGAGCCTTCCAAGAGTAGCTAGCCATAATTATATCACAGGCATTTATGCAACTTTCTTCGTCTTCCTGCTCTTTCTCCTCCTCCATCTAAAAAAATAGATCTGGATATAGATCCTTGGGTGAGTTGCAAAAAAAATATCAGGGATTTCCTAATTGTCAACAATAATATCTGTCCCAGCCCTATACTATATTGTGTCAGAGTATGAATACTCATAGACTGGAATAGAATAGACATGGTAGCAGGTCAGCCAATGGAGACTGTTTGGATAGACATGGTAACAGGTCAGCCAATGGGGACTGTTTGGGAACTGAAACAGTTTGGAGGCTGGGCATGGCTCAGCTCTGAGTCTGTGCAAAAGCTGCAAACTAGTCTGCCGCTCTGAATCAAAACAGAAACTGTTCTCTGCTGTTGGTATTGTATATTTATTTCATGTGTTATTATGTATATAAAGAAATTTCGAATCCTGCTGAATCAGTTACCTGTGTGCGCTTTCTGGATGTGATTACTGCTGCAAACTCTGACATATTGCTGGTATGAAAAAAAATTGTTTAGAATAACCAGTTCTGGAATTCCAAATTCCTTAACTCAGCATTTTTTTTAAAAAAAAGTCTGTGTGATATTTACAGTAAAGTTTACTTTCGATTGTGCAAACATGATGGCTGCCTCCCTTTCAACCCACCAATTCTAAATTATGTTCTCTTTTTTTCCCCAGTTGGAAGCCTGTGGCTGATTATATAGATCAGCAGTTTGAGCAGTATTTCCGGGATGAAAGTGGCCTTAACCGGAAAAATATTCAAGACAACCGTGTCCATTGCTGCCTCTACTTCATCTCTCCTTTTGGTCACGGGTATGAACTAAACCAGCCTACTTATGATCCTGGAACATATTTTATCTTTAAAAAAAAAAAAAAAGTTGACTAAAGACTTCACAATTGCCTTGCTACCTAAAAGACCCTTAGCAGGTTTTTTTCTGGCCCATCCCTTTTAACCTCATGCTCTCCAATATGCAACCCCTGGTTTTCCAGCCTGGAAGTTATATATGGTTAGAATGCTACACAACCTGTAAAGTCTATGTGCAATTAATGTCGTATCTATTCACATAGAAACCAATCCAAAGATAGGCCAATTCTTGAATTTTTAAACAAAAAACACACCACCTGTAGATAAGCTGGCCTGTATTTTTCATAGTATTTTGGTTACAAATTTGAGGGTCTTCTTGTCTGTGGACGAGCTTATCTACAAATAGATATATGGGAAATATGGGTACTTTTTTAAAAATACAGCATTATTGTATATACTTGAAGATAAGTCCATCCATGGCAGTGGTGGGATTCAATTTTTTTTACTACCGGTTCTGTGGGCGTGGCTTGGTGGGTGTGGCATGGCTTGGTGGGCATGGCAGGGGAAGGATACTGTAAAGTCTCCATTCCCTCCCCACTTCAGGGGACGGTTACTGCAAAATCCCCATTTCCTCCCGATCAGCTGGGACTCGGGAGTCAGAGAATAGATGGGGGCGAGGCTAGTCAGAGGTGGCATTTACCGGTTCTCAGAACTATTCAAAATTTCCGCTTCTGGTTCTCCAGAACTGGTCAGAACCTGCTGAATACCACCTCTGATCCATGGTATATCGATTTTATATTATGGCACGTCTTTCCTCACAGCATGCTGGATATTTGGGTTAAAAGAGAAGAATTCTCTAATGGGGTCCTTGCTCCATAGAATTCAAATTCTTGAAGTCCTTCAGATTGATAGACCCAAGCAGGATCTAGGATAAAGGTGTCTATCCATGAGGGGTTAAAGTAATTGGAAAAGACTCCCCTAAGTTGTTGGAAAACAACAAAAGCTTTCAATATAAGTAACTCTAAAATGTGTGATTCAAATGGTATAATGCTTAAACAATTTGAATGGAAGGCCATACTTCTTTTCATGATATCTCCTCCTGGAAATTGGAGAATCATTTGTTCTGCAGAGGTTACTACATGAAATAAGGATGTTGTATCTTTGCCAAAAATATAGATTTTTTTCAGTCAGGATATGCTACATCTGCCAGTTCTGCCTTTCTTTTTTAATGTTTCCTTATATAAATTAATTTAAATACCATAGTTATTTTTGTGAAGTATCATTGATTGCCGTCAAATAATTAGTATAGATTCTAGCACATGGTACCCCAGTTTTATGCTTATTGGCCAAAAAAGAAACAATCTCTTTCCACAGCTCCCAGGAGTAGAGTAGAGTAGAGTAGAGTAGACTAGACTAGACTAGACTAGACTAGACTAGACTAGACTAGACTAGAATAGAATAGAATAGAATAGAATAGAATAGAATAGAATAGAATAGAATAATAATTTTATTGTCACTTTGAATGTACACTAATCGGCATACATTAAAATGAAATTTCATTGCATACAGCTCTCAAAGGGTCACCACCCCCAATATACATGACATGAACATGACTAAATAAATAAATACAAAATTACGTATATACTTATTCTGTATATAGTGAACTCTTGTCTGCTCTTGGCAGTTTGCGACCTCTGGATGTTGAATTCATGAAAGCGCTCCATCAGCGTGTGAACATTGTTCCCGTCTTAGCCAAGGCTGACACTCTCATGCCCTCCGAGGTGGAAAGAATGAAGTGCAAGGTAAAAAAGGAGATCGGAACAAACTCGGGGGGGGGGCACTTTTCTCACTTCCATGAACAATGTAAAAAACACAACACTGAGATAAATAGAGTAACGTAAGCAAAACTAATTGTAAAAGGAAAACAAAAAAGAAAAGGAAATGTCCAAGATTTTGAAATTGTTTCTGAAGTATAAAAGTATTAAGTACTGGTAGTCCTCGATTTATGACCACAATACAGTTTATTGCTAAGCAGTGCGGTTGTTAAGCGAGACATCATGTGACCACAACTTGCAATCTTCCTTTCTGGCTTCCCCATTGACTTTCTTTATCAGAAGCTGGCTGAGAAGATTACATGATCGTAGGATACTGCGACAGTCATACATGCACGATGGCTGCCAAGTGCCTGAATCGTGATCATATGACTGTGGGGACACTGGTCGTGTGAGTGCCAGTTGCACGTCACTTTTTTCAGTGCCATCATAACTTTAAATGAATGGTTGTAATGCCAGAGCTACCTGTGTATAGATGCACAGCCCGCTGTAATTCTGAGCTAAATGTAGGCCATATGGAATCATACCATCTTGACTATCTAATTTGATATGCTTCTGTTACATCCCCTCTTCCTCACATTGACTTTGTCCTGCTCAACCCTCCCTTCCTCTCCAACCTTCCCCCCTCCCCAATATCCAGACTCTGTGACATTGTGAAATCTGTATTCTTTTTAAAATGAGCATACAGATGGCTTTCAGTCTGTCCCTTAAAGTGGCCACATGCATTTTATGAGAAAGTCAGGGAGGGTGAGGAATTGGAGGTCTGGTGCTGATTAAATGTTGAGCTCTTCACTCCCCTGTTAGCCTTCTAGAAGACCCTGATTGGCTCTTGAAGAAATCTCGGTGTGGCACTCGGTGCCCATGTTCATGCAGGTTGCTCTATAGCGGGTGTCAGCAACCTTCGGCTCTGGAGCCACATGTGGCTCTTTGGGCCCTCTGCTGTGGCTCCCTGTCATGTGATCCCATCACTGGCTTGCCCTGCCCCTTGCCCTCCCTTCTCAGTCACTCCTCACCTGGCCTGAGAAGGTAAGGGCGACTGCGGGGGATGGAGAAGCGACCAGGGCAGAGACAGAGAGATACAGAGAAAGGGGGTGAGAGAGAGACATAGTGAGATACAGAGAGAGGGGCGGGGGGAGGGAGGGAGAGAGAGAGATGTCCTTTTCATTCATTTCATTTTCATTTTATTTGATTTATATACCGCCCTACTCCCGAAGGACTCAGGGCGGTGAACAGGCACAAGATAAAACACATAGAATACAAAGATTTAAGAGCAGAAGTAAAATCGAATTAAATCAGTTTAGCCCAAGATAAATTTAAAACCCCAGGTTAAGAACAAATTAAAATTTACATTAAAATTTACATTAAAAAGAGAATGGGAAAGGTTAGGCCAGACCAGCCTGGTGAAATAAAAAGGTCTTGAGAGCGCGGCGGAAGGTGCGTAGATCCGGGCTCTTCCGTATCTCCGGGGGGAGCTCGTTGAAGAGTCACAAAAGGGTTCTGTGGTTCCCGGTGATTTTTAACAACCGGTTCTCTGTTCTAAAGACTGACTGGGTAGGTGTGGCTACGGGTGGTGGTGGTCATGTGACTGGTCGGAATGAGGGACATTGAGTTGGCCACGCCCACCCAGGTTTTGTGCTCCCGGTGTTTTCTTTCTGTGGGAAACAGGTCCAAATGGCTCTTTGAGTGTTTAAGGTTGCAGACCCCTGCTTCTATAGAATAGAAGGAACCAACGCTATGATTGAATTTCATCAGCTGCTGACATCTCCCTCTGTTCTAGATTCGTGATGAAATTGATCGTTTTGGGATCCGGATCTATCAGTTCCCTGATTGTGATTCAGACGAAGATGAGGAATTCAAGCAGCAGGATGAAGCACTCAAAGTAAGGGATTACCAACAGTGGACATTGGGATCCACTAGTTCGGCTAGATGTACCCGATTGTGTTAGAACAAATTCAGAAGAAAGCCTAGCTTTCCCCAGTCATATTCCACATGTGCTGATGCTTTGACTGTAAAGGAGCTTTTCCTAATATTTGAAAACAATATGTTTCATATTTGCTTGCCTTTTTTAAATTAAATTATTCCAAGCCAGGCATGTATCTCTAATTCCAGTTAAACCATACTAAAGAGAGGCAGCTAGGCTTGGATTAAACTCTTAGCCTAAGGAAATATTTTTTTTCCATCCTTCTCCCATCCCAGACGTATAGGCTCTTGATTTAATACAGCTTTCCCTAGCCTGGTGTCCTCCAGATGTGTTTGGACTGCAGAATGTCAGCCAGGAACCTGGGACATGGCAATCTTATTCATCTGGAGACCGAGAGCAGGCTGGGAGACAACCTTGTTTAATTTAAAACTGCTGCCGTTCTTATAAACATGGGTCCCTAGTTTGGAATCTACAGGTCATTTTTTTTATCACTTCTGTTTTATTGTTGTAGGCCACCCAGAGTAGCCCCACAGTGAGATGGGCAGCAAATAAATTTAACAAATAAAAATTTAAAAAATAATAAATTATACCTTTTTTTTTTTGATGCCTGGCCTGAATAATTTAAAAAGAAGAATCTCCTTAATTTAAACAAACGAAAGGAAACTGGTGGAATGTAAAGCACTCGTGCATCGTATTTTATTTACCGTACAACAAGGATCATCTCTTTTCCAAGCCTTTTTTCTTTTTTGATGCCCTCGGAATCCCGTCTCTTACTTCACTGCCAAATTTGGTAGTGCAATTGATGCAAGTCCATGATGCAGTTCCTTGAATCTTTTTGAGGAATGCTCTCTCTTTCATCACTAAATATATGTGAAGTAGCAAAGATTGGGGAAGGCCTCCTGCTATCCTATTTGACTCCTAATTGCCACTGTCCTTCTGCAGGACAGCATCCCCTTCGCTGTGATTGGCAGTAACACCATTGTGGAGATGAAAGGCAAGCGGATCCGGGGGAGGCTGTACCCTTGGGGGATCGTTGAAGGTAACCTATAGCTCCGTGAGGCTCAATAAACTGGGTACTGCAGCTAATGGGTCGACATTGATTCAATACAGAATTCAGCAAAAATGTTCCATGCTCCCCTAGTTTGAATTAACATCCGATTACCAATGCTCTTGTGGGATGGAAATACAAAATATTGACTTTGGCAGCTTAATGTCTTAGCTTTGGCTGTAGAAATCAATAAAATATTCCTGTCCCCAAGCATTAAATGAGTCGTTTTGTGGGAAGCACGGTAGTTTTGCCCCATATCTTGTTGGAAAAATCGGGAGGTAGGGATGAGGGAGAACATTGGCAAGATGCCACCTCTCGGCAGTCCCAATGGTTTATTACAGGGGCATTCCCATGGACTGTCAAAAAAGTCAAGATGGTGGGCACAGCTACCCAATCAAAGCCAGGTGTCTTTTTTTGCATGCATTTGACCAACACATTGGGGCCTCAGTTATGCAGTTGTGCCCTTGGCCTTTTTAAAATCACCCCTGCAGAGGTCCCCAGTGTAGACATGGGAGACAAAGAACAAGACAGCATCTCTCCTATCCAACCAAAATCCAATTGAACTGGTTGTTGAGTTGTTGTTCTGTGTTACAGTTGAGATTGCCTTCTTTAGTGCATTGAAGGCAAAAGGCTAGTTTAGAGGCAACACAGGCCATGCAGCAAACAACCTTTTGCTGTGTCCCGGGACCTGCTGTCTGAGGTGGCTGCTTCAGTCTGTTCTAGGGTAGAGCCAACCCTGGTCCCATCTTAGCCTTTTGTCCCCGTTGGACTTGAAAAATCCAGTTTTAAAGCTTGGATTTGAAGTATGCTGAATTTCAAGATTTGTTGTATGTCTAAAAATCAGTGGTGAAATGTAAAATTTGTTACTACCGGTTCTATGGGTGTGGCTTGGTGGTGGGGAGTAATGTGACTGAGTGGGTATGGCCAACTTTTTTTTTTTTTACCTTTAAAAGCATTTTTTTCTACAACCTCTTCGAAGAGGTTACAGAAAAAAATACTTTTAAAAGCCTCTGATGATCAGGCAACTCAGCTGGGATTGTCAGAGGCTTTTAAAAGCATTTTTTTCTACAACCTCTTCATCTGAAGAGGTTGCAGAAAAAATGCTTTTAAAAGCCTCTGACGATCCCAGCTGAGCTGCGCATCATCAGAGGCTTTTTTTTTTAACTTTTAAAAAGCCGAAGAGGTTGTAGAAAAAAATGCTTTTAAAAGTTAAAAAAAAAAAAAGCCTCTGATGATTGCGTGGCTCAGCTGGGCATGGGGTGGGGGCGCAGGGATTTTTGCTACTGGTTCTCCGAACCACCACCCACCATCGCTACCGGATCAGACGAGCCGGTCCGAACTGGGAGCATTTCACCCCTGCTAAAAATGAATCAGAGTCAAACATAGCTTGGGAAAGCCAATAGTTAGGTAAATGGGGAATGAGAGAGAGAGAGAGGGAGAAATTGGACAAGCATTTGTCTGAAATGGTATAGGGTTTCCTGTCTAAGCGGGGTTAGACTAGAAGACCTCCAAGGCCCCTTCCAGCTCTGTTTTTCTAAGAGAGATTGAGTAATATATAATCTTCCTTGATAATAATACTATAGATGTCACCACTCAAAAAAACCTAAACTACCGAAAATGGTGACGAATTAAGGTGATGAATTTAACAGCTGCTTTAAAATGTTCTTCAGTTTATTACAGAGCAGGGCCTGTCCACAGCCCGTACTGGCAGCATATAGAGAGGGACCTTTGGCAAATCAACTTTAGGAAAACTAAAACAATAATTTCAATATTTGTTATAGGGAGGTTCTTCCCCCCCCCCCCCCATTTTTATAATAAGGAGAAAGGGAACAGATGGCATCAACAGATCCCAGCAAAATCACTTGAAGCTTGATCATCATGTGTATTCATATGAAAGTATTTCCTCCAAATGTGTGGGTGGGAGTTGCATCCTGTTGAGTCTTATCTTGAACTGCCCAGGTCTCTCTGGAGTGCAGACTCCTAAGAACGTAAGAGGAACCAAAAAGCTGCAAGCAAAATAGGAAACAATAAGCTTTCCTTCATGCTTTTGCCTGCCAGTCGGGGCATTCAGCGATTCCCCAGACAGGCTCCATTTCACTTTCGTTGCTAAAAGCCATCAATAGGCTTTTCATCTCCCATGGATTTGTTTCCAGTTTTGAGATCGTTGAGTAGAAGAGACCGTCACTGCGCTACGCGGTCTTGAATTGCACTCACTGAACTCCGCCTTCTTTTGCCAGTGGAGAACCCAATGCATTGTGACTTTGTCAAGCTGCGCACCATGCTAGTAAGGACCCATATGCAGGACCTGAAGGACGTGACTCGGGAAACCCACTACGAAAACTACCGGGCTCAGTGCATTCAGAGCATGACTCGCATGGTGGTGAAAGAGCGGAATCGCAAGTAAGCTGTGGGGTGCTGGGAAGGAGGAGGTGGAACTGGGGGGGGGAAGGGAGCTGGGCAGATGGCATAACTGAGAAGGATGAAGGAGATGTGAAAGGTGGGACCCCCCCCACGTTCAATAACCTTGTTGTAACCTCCTCTCCAACAGGTATGAGGAGGAAAGACAGGCAAAGCGGCCTTAAAAATTCTCAGGTGGAATCAGAGGCTGGTGGAGGCAGTTCATCAAGGAAAAATTAATGCTGGCTTAAATTCACAGATTTCTTTTAAATGATGATTTAGGCAGGTATTTATTATAACAACAGATGGATAGGCACTTTATTGCAAACAGAATAAATTATGTACATTGAAATCCATTTTCCTGGTTTGTGCAGTTTTGTGCTAAATAGAAATATTTGTAGATAGGCGATGCAATATAAATACAAGTGCAATATATATGTATATATATATATATATATGTATATATATATATGTTTATATAATTTTTTAAACTCAGTGGCTGATGTATGAGATGTCCAAGTTGGCATCAGGAAGAAAACTCACCAAAAGTGAATGCAGAGAAAAACAGCTTTTATTGGGCCTTGACGTTTTCAGTGAATTGCCCTATTAGGAGAAACATACCTGAGTCTGGTTGCTTAACTTTTCCCATTTCCCCCCCCAAATCTGATAACTTTCAGAAATGTTCTCAGTTTTCCCAGTTGACAGAGCCATCGGATACGCTCGTTATAAAAAATGGGAGGTGTTCTACAGTATGGCTAGGAAGATCAAAATCATGAGACAAAATAGAATACCCTGTAGCCCTTTGATTTCTTTATAGGCCTTCAGATCACCTGACTTATCTGACTTATCAAGGATGGTCTTGAATAAACCTTTCCTGAGATTCTGTTTCTCTTAACTCATATTTTCTGTTGTTCAATTTCCGCCAGATCTTGCTTGTTTTCTCATACTTCCTTGAAAACTGTCCTGCTAACTCATTGACACTGTTCTTCCACAAAGCTTGACTGTTAAGTCTTACTGCGTCTCTTACTCCATTTGCCACTATTCCTCTCTGTCCAGCTGTGGCCAGCTAGAAAAGATGTTTCATTTTATTCATAAAAGCAACCAGAATGTTTCTCAATGTGCCTGGTGCACAATTAAGAAATAAGCGTGGGGCATTGTTTTATCTTACAAAATAATTGAGTAATAATAATCCCTGGATATTCTGCTGTAGCCGTTGGAGGAGAGGTGGGTAGGTCCAGTGTTTTCAACCTTGGTAACTTTAAGATGAAACACTGGTTTAGTCTATATTGGCAAAACATCAGAAGAAAATCTGTTAATTCCTTTTCTGACTAATACATGTTATTAGAACGTATAAGCTTTTGTGACTTGCATCTGATTTCATCAGATGCATTGAGTGGCTTGAAAGATGGAGGATTTAAATTGGGATTAAAGTCGAGGAAGGAGGGTAAAACAGGTTGATTATGCAGATTACATGTGAGACAGATTACAAGTACCTTTAAATCCTACATTTTATGCCTTTTAATGAAATGTGCTAATCTGCTTGGGTGGTCCTTGAGTTAGTACTAAGTATCTGGGAGCTTCACCTGTTGAATGCACTAACCTGATGATCTTCTGTAACTCTTCCACTGCTGCAGTTTGCAATCTGCATGCTGGAAGGGACTTGGTGAGAAAGCAAAGGGCAATAAGCTTGGGTGGAAAGGAATGCAAGTGTAGAAAAAGAAGAAAAAAGAAACCTTAGTAAGAATACCGAGGAGGTAGCTCATTCAAGAAATTATTATGTGGTGCTGCTGTTTTGTGTTGGTTTGTGTGTGTTAAACTGCAGAGCAGGACATTCTCTGTATTGGCAGCTGTTAGACTTCTCAAACTATTTGGGGACAGCCCTGTAATATTATATATGAAGGATGAAATCTTTACATCCATGTCTGTTAGACATGAATTATTTTCTCAGCAGCAATGACTGAAAGTTACCGTTTTCTGAACAAAGCAAATTAGACAGTATGTGATTGTGGGAGAAACAGTGTATAGTAGAGCTGTGTTTCTCAACCCCAGCAACTTCAGGATTAATGGACTTCAGCTCCCAGAATTCTCTGGGAGCCTTGGCTGAGGAATTCTGGGAGTTGAAGCAGGGGTGAAATCCAGCAGGTTTTAACAGGTTCTGGAAAACCGGTAGCAGACATTTTGAGCAGTTCGGAGAACCGGTAGTGGAAATTTTGAACAGTTCGGAGAACTGGCAAATACCACCTCTGGCTGGCCACAGAGTGGGGTGGGAATGGAGATTTTGCAATATCCTTCCCCCAGGAGTAGGGAGGGAATGGGGATTTTGCAGTATCTTTCCCCTGCCATGCCCACCAAGCCACACCCACAGAACTGGTAGGGAAAAATTTTGGATTTCACCCCTGAGTTGAAGTACACACATCTTAAAATTGCTGAGATTGAGAAACACTGGTATAGAGAACCTGGAAGAAACTGTCCTCCTTTTTTATTGGATCCTGATCCTGATCCTTATTTTATTTATTTTATTTTATTTATTTGATTTGATTTATATACCGCCCTACTCCCGAAGGACTCAGGGCGGTGAACAGGCACAAGATAAAACACATAGAATACAAAAATTTAAGAGCAGAAGTAAAATCGAATTAAATCAATTTAGCCCAAGACAAATTTAAAACCCCAGGTTAAGAACAAATTTAAAATTTACATTAAAATTTACATTAAAAAGAGAATGGGAGAGGTTAGGCCAGACCAGCCTGGTGAAATAAAAAGGTCTTGAGAGCGCGGCAGAAGGTGCGTAGATCCGGGATCCTCCGTATCTCCCGGGGGGAGCTCCTTCCAGATAGTAGGTGCCCCCACAGAGAAGGCTCTCCCCCTGGGGGCCGCCAGCCGACATTGTTTGGCCGACGGCACCCGGAGGAGTCCCTCTCTGTGAGAGCGTACCAGCCGGTGGAAGGCCATTTGCGGCAGGAGGCGGTCCCGTAAATATTATTCAGGATTTTCCCACATTTACCGTGATTTTCGTCCTACAAAATGGAGAGTAGTCTATTCTTATACTGTATTTTTGAGGAATTCATTATGTGCCACCAAGTTGTTTTTGACTTCTAGTGACCATATAAGCGTTCACCAATTGCAAGTCTTTTTTTGCACATTTCAACCCCCCAACAATAACCCTCTGAGACACACATACTTTCGCATCTCTTTTTCTTCTCTCTATCTGAGAGAGAGGATTATTTTCTTGGCAACCCCTATTGGAGAAGATGACTGAGGATCAGTGTTTCAGAGGCTTTGCTTCCATCTCTCTGGCTTTTCAACTGTGGTTCCACCACTGGCAGAGTTTGGTCGAGGATGCCTGAACCAGGGCACGGAAACGATCCTCTAAACTAGGGAAAATCTAGAACTGGGGGGGGGGGGGGTGTGAGGTGAGCCTTGAAGGGAAGCTTCTTCCTTGCCCTGCCTTCCCATGGTGATTTTAAGCTGGGGGACTCCATTCCCCTGTTCTGTTTGCCATCCTGTTTAGAGGTGAAGGAGAGGTCCCCATCTTTGAGAGTCCATTGTAGTAACAATTTCTTGGAATGAACAACTAAGCCCCCCTTTTCAGTTCTGCTTCCACTCCCCTCTGCTGTTGGACTTCAGTAAGCTTGTAATTGCTGAGGACTTACACAGCCAGGCCGGAGATAATGCCTGACACTTACTTCCAGAGCTGCATCTTAGTAGACTAGACTAGACTAGACTAGACTAGACTAGACTAGACTTGACTTGACTTGACTTGACTTGACTTGACTTGACTTGACTTGACTACTTGACTTGACTTGACTTGACTTGACTTGACTTGACTTGACTTGACTTGACTTGAATTCTTTATTGGCCAAGTGTGATTGGACACACAAGGAATTTGTCTAGGTATATATACTCTCAGTGTACACAAGGAGAATAAAATACATTCATCAAGAATAAAAAGATACAACACTTAGTGATAGTCAAGATTACTAATAAGTTATCAAATCGCACTAGGAAACAAAAACAATATAATTGAAAGATACAAGCAACATGGTTATAGTATCGATAATAAGTGGGAAGAGAAGAATAATAGTAATACAATCTTAGTAAATTATTTGACAGTGTTGTGGGAATTAGTTGTTAAGCAGAGTGATGGCATTTGGGAAAAAATTGTCCTTGTGTCTAGTTGTTCTGGTGTGCAGTGCCCTATAGCGTCATTTTGAGGGTAGAAGTTGAAATAATTTATGTCCAGGATGCAAGGGGTCTGTAAGTATTTTCACAGCCCTCTGTTTCACAGCCTCTGTCTGGCTTTCATGTATTTCCTAAAAAAGTTCTATTAAATTGTGATGGACTATTGGAAGTCAGAGCACCCTGACTCTATGCACATAAGATGCTTAACCGTACTGCTGGATTTGCATGATGTACTAAGCCTTACCAGAGTTACTAGTAATCACTGTTACTAGTGAAACTCTATGAACACAAACACCAGGCGGATGGAGATTTGCCAGCCTGGTTTGCTGTTGAGACTCGAGAACATAGTTTGAATGGAGAGTGTGTGTGAATTTTCTTTTAAGAGAGCCCATTTTATTGTAAGCTAGCCCTTTTCCCAGAAAGCAATTGTGTGGGCTTTTCTTTTGGGGGTTAGTCTTGCATTGCATTCAAAATCATGTGAAGTATTAGTACCACTTTATAAAGCCTTAGTAAGACCACACCTGGAATACTGCATCCAGTTTTGGTCACCACATTACAGAAAAGACGTTGAGACTTTGGAAAAAGTGCAAAGAAGAGCAATTAAGACGATTAAAGGTCTGGAGACAAAAACATACGAACGGTTGCAGGAATTGGGTATGGCCAGTCTAGAGAAAAGAACAACTAGGGTGACATAGCAGTATTCCAATATTTGAGGGGCTGCCACAAAGAAGAGGGGTCAATGTATTTTCCCAAGCACCAGAAGGCAGGACAAGAAACAATGGATGAAAACTGATCAAGGAGAGAAGCAACCTGGAATTAAGGAGAAACTTCCTAACAGTGAGGACAATTAACCAGTGGAACAGCTTGCCTTCAGAAATCATGGACGCTCCATCACTGGAGGATTTTTAAAAAAAGACTGGACAGCCACTTGGTTGAAATGGTATAGGGCAGTGATGGCTAACTTTTTTCTCTTCGTGTGCCGAAACACGCATGTGCCGGCACCCATAGTGCAATGTGTGCGCCCCTTTGCATGCGTGCATGCCTCCTAGGCCCTCATGCCCTCCACGCATGCGCACACGACCCCCCCGCTTCCCGTTTTGGGCCTAGTAGACCTCCCTGCAGCCTCTTGGGTCCAAAAACGGGCTGTGTGGGGGGGTGCCACACCCCCCCCCGCTTCCCGTTTTGTGCCTAGTAGGCCTCCCTGCAGCCTCTTGGGCCTAAAAACCCCCTTGCCCCCCGCCCCCATGCATGCATGTGTGACCCCTGACCCCCCTGGTGCATGCACGCGTGATCCCCCGCACATGAACGCACGTCTACCGCATGCACCCCGACCCCCGCACATCCCGAAAATCAGCTGGCCGGCCGGAGGCGCGTGTGCACGCATGCATGGTGGAGCTGACCTGGGCGATGATTCGCGTGCCCGCAGAGAGGGCTCTGTACCAGCTGTGGCATGCGTGCCATAGGTTTGCCATCACGGGTATAGGGTCTCCTGCTTGAGCAGGGGGTTGGTCTAGAAGACCTCTAAGATCCCTTCCAGCTCTATTCTGATTGATTGATCGTTCAAAATGATTTGGAAAGGGCCATTAGCCTAAAAGTCCTGTCTTCCACCTGTTTTCTATGTAGATCTCGACAAAAGATCCCCCAGATTTGTAACCATCCAACCTCTCTTCTACTTCCTCTCTTGATAATTGGTTCCACCATCAAACCATTCTTGCCACCAGGAAGTTTTTCCAAAAATGAATATGAAACTATTAATTGCCTTTGCAAGGTAACCTCAAAGAGCTGGGGAAAGCCAGACTAGAATTATATCATGGAATAAGTAACAGAAGTGGTTTGCTGGCCACCAAATATAGCAGTTTGATTGAGAAGCAAATGGGATATCTTGTAGGATTGCATACCCAAGCATTTTTTTGCAGTTTTTTCTCTGAGAACACTTTAATGTATTTCCTCCTCTTTTATTTCCTTTCCTGTTTTGTTTTTTGGAAAAAAAAAAACCCAGCAAGCTAACCCGAGAAAGTGGGACTGATTTCCCCATCCCAACTACGCCCACAGTGCCAGACTCGGAAACAGAGAAACTGATCCGGGAGAAGGATGAGGAGGTGAATAACAGGGTACTGTTTGGGGGGAATTCAGAAACATACAGGTAGTCCTCGACTTATAACAGTTCATTTAGTGACTGTTCAAAGTTACAACAGCACTGAAAAAAAGTGACTTATGACCATTTTTCACACTTACGACTGTTGCAGCATCCTCATGGTCATATGATCAAAATTCAGCTGCTTGGCAAATGATTCGTATTTATGGTGTGTCCTGGCGTCACGTGATCAGATTTTGCGACCTTCTGATGAGCAGTCAATGGGGAATCCGAATTCACTTAACACCCGTGTCACTAACTTAACAAATGTCATGATTCACTTAACAGTAGTGGCAAGAAAAGTCGTAAAATGGGGCAAACTCACTTAACAAATAGCTCACTTAGCAACATAAATGTTGGGCTCGATTGTAGTTGTAACTCGAGGATTGCCTGTACAGAGAGCTGTATTGTACAACATATACAGCTCAATTTAGCTCAGTGCAAGCCAGATTCACACATCAAGCTGACCAGCTTTTTTAAGAGCAGGTTCACACGCTGTGTCTATGGAGATTCTCAGTCATCCAGATCATGATTGTCCCACAGGTGCCTTTTTTTCAAGAGGCTGCTGAACTTTCTTGTTTTTTCTTTGAAGACGTTTCGCTTCCCATCCAAGAAGCTTCTTCAGCTCTGGCTGGTTGGTGGGGAATGGAAGGATTTATGTTCCTTGCAGACAACCGGTCATTTGCGTTGTTTTAGAGCAGGCATCCTCAAACTATGGCCCGCAGGCCGGATACGGCCCACCAATGCAAAGTATCTGGCCCGTGGAGTGGTGTGATTAAGCCCCGCCCCTTGCCATGGGCCTTATCTTCCAGCGAGCCAGCTGAGGGGTGATCTCACTGGTGCAGCCTTGAAAAGCAGCTCTGGGCTTGTAAAGTACTGCTTTAAATTAAAAGTCTTTGAAAACAATTTAAACAGGAGCTAAGGAAGGAGAAAGGCAAAAAAATATGGACCGTTAAATTGGTCACGCCCACCTACCCACATGACCACCTAGCCACACCCACCCAGGCAGTCCGCCCCCCCCAACAGTGAGGGACTGTGAATCGGCCCCCTATTTAAAAAAGTTTGAGGACCCCTGTTTTAGAGAGTCGTTGAGGTCACTTGTTGTCTGTGTCCTCAGGGTCACCTGAGTAGTGCATTTGCACATTTGCACATCCCACCCGTTTCTGCTTTCCCAGCATACTCAATTCTATCAGCAAAAAGTGAGAGCCGGGTGGCGCAGTGGACTAAGTGCTGTTAAAGTAGCACTTAGTTGCCAGCTGCCTGCAATTACTGCAAGTTCAAATCTCACCAGGCTCAAGGTTGACTCAGCCTTCCATCCTTCCGAGGTAGGTAAAATGAGAACCCGGATTGTGGGGGCAATAAGCTGACTTTGTATAAAAAAGAACACCGCTTAGGGGGCCCCGAAAGCCCTACTAAGCAGGTATATACAAAAGAATGAAGGCTATTGCTTAATGCATTGTAAGCCGCCCTGAGTCTCCGGAGAAGGGCGGCATATAAATCAAACTAATAAATAAATAAACTAATAAAAGTGGCGGTTCTGACCACTTGATCATAATAATTAGATCAAAAACAAAGCTAGGCTACCTTCTTTAATATGGGTGTTGGGTAATTTTGCAAGTTGAAGTCCAGACAACTTAAAGTTGCTGAGACTTAAGAACAATGCTCTAAGACAGGGGTCTCCAACCTTGGCAACTTTAAGCCTGGAGGACTTCAACTCCCAGAATTCTAGGAGTTGAAGTCCACCAGGCTTAAAGTTGCCAAGGTTAGAGACCCCTGCTCTAAGAAGTAGCTGGTATCCCATGAGTCTTTTTACCAGGAGAGACTGAGCAAGGCTTTGTGACATCATTAGTCCTTTTCCCAGGGGTTGAGATTATGACTATCATTATCAATTACATTTATATGCGTCCGACTTTCAGCAACTCCGGGTGGTTCGCCAATTGAGAGTTGGACTAGAAGACTTTAAAAAGTCCCTTCCAACTCCGTTATTCTTTTGTCCTGTTAATTGTTGAAAACATTTTTTAAAAAAGTAAATGGCAGGATGACGAATCAGATAGAAACAACAACAACAACAAAAATTCTGTCTTCCACTTTTCCCCCTCCAAATGTGGGAAAATGTTTCTTAGGTCCATTAAAGTTGGTGGCTTAACACATTAAAGGTACAGTCACAATGCACTTCATCTGGCTACTGATTTAATCTGTATTCTGAGTTCTCATAATAGCATTTAGACTTAGATTTATATACCGCTTCACAGTGCTTTACAGCCTTCTCTAAGCAGTTTACAGAGTCGGCATATTGCCCCCAACAATCTGGGTCCTCAAGGTCAACCTTGAGTCTGGTGGGATTTGACCTGCCAAACTGCAGGCAGCCAGCAGTCGGCAGAAATAGCTTGCAGTACTGCACTCTTAACCACTGTACCACCGCAGCTCATAATAATAATAATATATTGTTCTGTAAGGTAATTGAACGATATGGGTTCTTATTACGTGCTAAGCCAGGGTTAGGGAAGGAACTAGCCATTACCATTGTATAATATGAATCTGTGGCAGTGTTTCTCAATGTTGGCAACTTTACGTGGTGTGGACCTCAACTCCTAGAATTCTGAGAGCAGAATTGGCACCTCTTAAAGTTGCTTGAGAAACATGGTTTTATGGCAAAGAGGACATTGCTTCATCATTTCAGCAGTGAAACCTGCGGATGTGGAACATATTTCTTCTAAGCTACATCTGACCTCTATTCTTGTCAGTTTTATAAGACATGTTTAAGTATCTCTCTTTTAGACAGCCCTGTTTAGACAGTTTGTTAATTTGTCATGTAAAGTATGTGTTTTGGTATTTTCAATTTCGTACTGTAGGGGGCAGGAAGTATTTATTTTGAAAGTTACTTTGGGCATTCAGTTTGCATAGAAAAATTAAGCAGATAAATTGCTGGTTTATTTTTCTCCTTTCAGTTACGAAGACTGCAGGAACGGTTGCAGAAAATCCAACAGCAGATGGAAGATTCATAGTAATCATAAATTGCCTCCTCCCCAAGTATATTTTTTGTCCCTGCTGGCTGGCATTCTTCCAAAGCAGAAAATGTTTACATCCCTCTGAATTTCACCCCATCTCCAGTACTTAGTCCTTGTCAAACATAAATTGCTGCAATGATCGCCTTAAAACCAAAGTTCTACAATTACTTACCCCTCTAAGAAATGAGAAACTCAGAAAGGCTTCAAGATGCTACCGCAACCTTCTAACACGCGGGAACTTTTCCTTTCTCCATCCAGTCTGGCTACTGATCATCATTGTGGTGATTTTTCTGTAGCGTGCAGAGACAAACTATTCTGCAGTTACAGCATTGAAAGGAAACTTAACTCTCATCCGACAGGCAGACTACGATAATTTGTACCAGCAAACTGTGGTTGACAAGATTCTGCTTAGATTCCTTTCTAACCCAGTTGTAAAAAAGATGCAAGTGTAAAAAAAAAAAAAAAAGCAGGCATACGCAAAACACAAGATATTCTCTCCAAGTCCGTCTTGAAATTATTGGCAAAAATATATGCACACGAGAGATGAAATGGCAAAATTCCGATCTATAAGATGGTAAAATGGAGAACTTTCAGATGTTGGGAATGCTTAAAAAAAATACTTCTGGCCAGCAATTAAATTTCTCATGATCCCCTTAAAATGAATGGGAGCTGCCGGAATCTTGCACTGAGAAACTTTTGACTGAATTAAATACTTAAGCACTTCCCTTTGCAAAAACTCTGTTTTGTTCTATTTTATATTTATCTCCTCATAAGTGAGAGTCAAAACATGGGAGTTAATATAGTTTTTGCAAGCTAATAATATTAATTTTATTTAAGTTTTTCAAGCTATTTATCAAAGTAAGATAAAATTTAAAAAAATTTACTGTCCCATGCACAGCCATGCATACATACCCAGCTGCATGGTGGACGTGCAAAGTAACCAGGCTTCTTGCAAGGGATATTCAGTTTCATTCGAAATCGTTCCTTCTCATGTGTCTTAAGTGACTGTGTCTCTTTTGTGAATGTGTATCAGCTCATACCCTCAATCAAGAACACCTAAATTAGGACTTTTCAGCAAGTGGATCTTGTAATGTGTGGCTTATTCCAAATGGAAATTTTTCTAAAAGTCTGAAAAAAATGCTTGGCACTCTCCCCTCTCTGGAGGATCAGAATCTGCATGCTGCCGCTCTTATGGGGATCAGTCTTCTAAATCTGCTTAAAATGTCCGTCTCCGCCAATGATGCATGCTGCCGTTAAATGACGCTTTGAAAGAAGATCCCAGGGAACAACGCGACACATCTTTCTCAAACCAGCTGATTGGTTGCTTACAGAAAATGTTGGTGAGATACTCTCAAAAGAAGAGAAACAGCCAACCCATCCACTCTTCTAGGTCTCCCTCACTTCAAGGCTGTTCAAAAGGACCATCAGAACCCCGGATGGTCAACTATGGCAACCATGGCCACAAGGCATTTTCCTCTTTCAAGGAGTGATGCCGATGGAAAGTGCGCTGAGAAAACCAAGGTGATCGATCTCACTGGAGATACGGGTGCAACCCCATGAAAGCCACCTCTGCTGTTCCAGTTTGGAGCTGAAGTATGGATGGCCCTTCCTTAAACAGGCCTTTTCTCCCTGTAGGATCCACAATGAAAGAGAAGCAGAGGATTGGCAGAGGATGGAGAGGAATTCAAAGTGCAAGCAAGTAGCCTAGGACACGAACTTGCTGGAGCAAAAAGATGATGCTTCTGAATAAAGCTAACAACCTTTCATTTGTAGGCCAGCACAGCATGAGAACATGCTGGATCAGACCAAAGCTCTCATGTTAGTAGCAATGATAATTAGTGGTGTCTTTCCTCTGGCCATGGAGGCTCTGTAGGAGTCAATTGTTGATAGATGCCTGTTAGTACCCTTCTGTCTCATCCTCTTTTCTAATAAACTGCCTGTCATAACAGCTGCCACAATGTCAATGAATCCAGATCCAAAACAGACTTGTAAGCTGGGCCAAGACTAGGAGAATATTGGTTATTTTCTCTAGAAGGTTCAGAACCCACTGGGCATCATAGAACCATTTCTATAGTAACTATTATAACATAACCTGCAGAAACTTCTGATTAAAGAAAGGCCCCAAAATTGCAGGTCTTGAAATAAGAAATCCTTAGATTTTAACCATTCCTTTCCACCCAGCTCCAAATGCAATAGGATTGCCAACTGACCAGAGGGGGGGAAAAGCCTAGCCTTAGCCTAGCATAACCTGGCCTGCTTCTGTGCTTTAAAGATATCTTGATATACTTAAACATGTTTTTCATTGCATGGAGGAAATATTACTACTTGCTAGTATTGGTAGAGCAAACTGCTATTACAGAGGCTGACCCCATACTCTTGGCTTCAATATTTATAGAGGTGCTTCCAGTTAAGGCTTTTCTTGTGCAATTAACCTGGTTTATTTGTGCAATATTATTGGGGGGATGAGAATGTAATTTTCACTAGTAAACACCCTTTATTTCTCTTCCATTTTCCCCCTATAATGTGAAGAAAAACTCGGAATGGGGAAGCTTTGGATTGGTACTGTTAAGCTGTCCTGTCTGAAACTATAATTGTTATCTTCCTATTGTGATATTATGATGGCTATCATTTGATGTGCTTATTCTTAATTATTGATTACTTTTTATTATTTATTTATCCTCCAGGATACATACCTACTCTAAAGTATCACTATTTATAACCTTATTTAAACATCATTTTATTATATCCTGTCGAGGCATAGTGAAAGCTGAAGCAGCCGTCCACAAGGATGCCCATTAGCACATTCAGATAAGCAATTTCCCCCTTTCGCTTCAGTCCAACTTCCATGTTGCATACAAGGAGGACTGTTCTTGTGCCATAACTGAAAGTGCAGAAAACTAAAGGAAGTAGCCCCAAAATTATCTTTTCTTTTCAATCTTTTAAGTTTCTAACCTTCATGTTGTGAAGATAAGCTGCTGTGGTTAGATGCTAAGCATAAAACACGATGGCTATTAGATGTAGTGCTGGGATTCTGGAATGCATACAGTGGAATGCGGGGGGAGGTTTTAATACATTCAGGGGGTGTTTGCAACTATGTGTTGGAAACCTTGTCCCTTTTTAAATGTATTGCATCACAACATGTAAAAAAAGGGACAGGGCTTTGAACCCACAATTGTGGAGTTTGCTTTTTTAACTCCTCTCCCTCTTCCCTCCCGTCCCATGGATGCTCCTGAATGCATAGTATTGTGTGCTCTCAACAGTGCTTCCAAAACATTGTATTCCTTTATTCTCACTGCCTTAATTGCTGGGTTAGTCCCAGGAGTAACAAAAGATGAGTGTGTGTGAGAGAGCTGTAGGATGTTTAGGAACCCCCCCAAACAGCATTTCTGCTTTTATTCATTCATTTTTCAAATCTTGATATTTTCCTATTAAAAAAAGAGAGAAAAATTCTATCTGTTGTCTGGGGCTGGGAAATATTTATTGAAAGGTTGTAAAATATATATATTATATATATATATATGTTTATACATTCTAGTAGTTTATTTTTTAATCCCACTAATAAAAGTAGCTAATTTCAATGAGCCTGTTTGAGACTTGAGTTTTTAAAATATATATATATATATTGTGCCAAAGTAAGGGTCTTCCAGGTGTGATGTATGAAAATCATCTTTGATTTAATGGTGGGGATTGGTCTGTGATTGCATTGCAACAAAACAGTGAGAGCTTCAATTCATTCAAGTGACTCACATCTACTACAGAATGTTTGTTGTTGGGTTGGAAAATACTTTTCCTACACTGGGGAAATGATACTCTTTGAAAAGTGGAACTGGCCTTCTACAGTATTCGGAACAGAAGATACTTTTGGAACAGTCATCAGCCAAGGCAATGAAGCAGCATATTCACCATCCAGAGCTCAATGTTGCCAGGGAAATTCAGGACCCATTGCTCAGGTCAGTGTGCAAAAAGAACATTCAAATACATATATGCTTATTCCTAGACTTAAGGCAGGGGTGTCAAACTCAAGGCTCGCAGGCTGGATTTGGCCAGTGATGTCAGATCTGGCTCGCGGGGCAGTCCTGGAAAATGTAAGGGGCCAGCCTGTGTTGCTTCGGCCCAGTCTATCCGCATCGCTTTGGCCCAGTCTGCCCAATGCAAAGAGGAAACATCGGGCCAGCGTAACTTCGGCCCGGTCTACCCAATGTGAAGAGGAAACATGCCAGCAGTTTGGGGAATGGCGTCAAGCTGGCCATGCTCACCCAGTTGGCCACGCCCAGCCAGCCCCCCCCCCCCCGAGGTCAACCACAGCCCTGAAGTGGCCCTCTATGGAATTGAGTTTGACATGCTTGATTTAAGGTAATCCCAAATAATTGGAAAATGGATAGATTATTTGTACAGAAAGATCCAAGCCAATTCTGAGCTTTTGAAAACCACCTTACCAGTGGTACCACTCCAGACGTCTGGTTGCCTCTCTGTGCTGGGCTGAGCTGGACTAGGTTGGGCTGGAGGTGGCATCCTGAGAACATGCCCCTTTGAAGATGTCCTGGCATGTTACACAGAATGATTGGGCGTTGCTATTCCCACTGTTATGTGAATGCTGTGTGGTAGGGAATCCAAAGATTGTTACTCTGCAGCAAAGATTAAGTCTGCAAGAACCACTTCACTTCTCAGTCTCATTGAAGAGAAATAAAACATGGTTGAGAGTCCAAATTATTTTGATGGACTTCTTTCCCACCTCAAGGACAAGAGGAGCACATGTTAATGCAGGTGTGTGGATATGCCCCTGCTGCCAGGTTGAAGGAAGACAAGTGCAGCTTCCAAAGCAATGTTTCTTAACCTTAGCAACTTTAAGATGTGTGGGCTTCAACACCCAGAATTTTCCAGCCAGCAAGGAGTTGGAAGTCCACACATTTTAAAGTTGCCAAAATTGAGAAAGGCTTGTAAGAATAGAGCAAGGAACACCAATGGGCCTTCCAAAGGATGTCCAAAGGAGTTAAGGAAAATATTTCTTGACACTGAACGCCCAATCCTAAATTGACAGCTTATGTTACTCTGGCGATACACTAATAATCACATGTTGCTTGCTCATATCACTGATCACAGATTAACCAGAACTTTATGAATAGGCTTGAAGAAACCAATAACCTTGTAACCATCTAAGATGGGAAACTTGGGTTTAATTCTGGATTGGCTTCTAATGTAACCTATTTTCTAAGAATGCTGGAAGAGGATGTTTGCTCTTTAGTTTCCTGAAAAAAAAAACCAAGAACACATTAGGATTTCAATTAATGTATCTTATACATCAATTGAATCCTTGGGTGTTCTGCAGTATGTAACATAATACGGTAGGGCTCTAAGATGTTGGAAATTCAGATCTGAAGGGAAACAAAAACTGAAAATAGAGGCCCAGAATAAAGGTTGAGGTAAAAATATATGTTTCCAGGTCATTTGAAGCAATTCCAATATTTCACCTGCATTATTGCCTTGCAAACCAACTAACAACCTTGTAAAGGGAGCTCAGCATTGATGACTTAAATCAGGAAGTGGCTGAATAATTGTTATCTAGAACAGGGGTCTCCAACCTTGGCAACTTTAAGACTTGTGGACTTCAATTCCCAGAGTTCCTCAGCCAGCTTTGCTTTGCTGGCTGAGGATCTCTGGAAGTTGAAGTCCACAAGTCTTAAAGTTGCCAAGGTTGGAGACCCCTGTTCTAGAATATTAGGAATGAGGCAAGAGTTGACAAGCTTGGCAAGTCTTTCACCCCACATCTTTTTTTTAAAAAAATTATTTATATGCTGCCCTTCTCCGGAGACTCAGGGCAGTTTACAATGCGTTAAGCAATAGCCTTCATACTTTTGTATATTTATACAAAGTCAGCTTATTGCCCCCACAAACTGGGTCCTCAATTTACCTACCTTAGAAAGGATGGAAGGCTGAGTCAACCTTGAGCCTGGGGAGATTCAAACTTGCAGTAATTGCAGGCAGCTGAATGTTAATAACAGGCTATTAGTCTGCTGCGCCACCAGGCGCCAACATCTATGATGTTGACTTTGGCTTTCTGGACCAAGGCAGCACAGGGGTCATATTTAAGATTTGCCCACTTCTTAAGAATGGAAGAATGAAGGAGTGGATCCAGTTCAATGAGCATAGCTCTGTGTAGCTGTCCTTCTGAATGCCAGCAAAGGGATCTGAAAAGCTTTCAAACATCCTCCATAAAAATGTCATCAAGAAAGTCATAGGTGGCTAGAACAAGGGAGTGGAAGGACTTTTATTATTTCCATGTAAATTAATTTTACATCACAGTTTTGTGAATTCTGATCATTGTCATCAGAGAGGGCATCACATTTCATTTTCAAAGTGCGTATAAATGTTTCACAGTCTTTGTCTAATTCATGTTCCTTCCCTTAACACTTCTCCTAAAGACAATTGAGGCAGACTGATAATATGATAAACTCCCCAATTCACCAAGATTGACTGAGTGAACAAATAATACAAGCTCTTCTCTTCAGTTGTGTTACAGAGCAATGACCCCGAGTGCAGGAACAACAGGGACTACACAACCCCATGTGTGCCAGAGTCATGTGGAAGAGCTGCCTGACTCAGGAAAACGGCTCACATGCTGGCTGCAATCTGCACACCTGAAGAGTGTGAAAGAATTAGGGAAACAGCATGGGAAACACATGAAAGATGGAAACCAGACTCCCTAAAAAGGGCAGTAGAATAGGAAACCGGGGACTTCGCTGTCTATGATAAGATAATGACAGTCAAACATGGTCTAAAACCAAGATTGCAGGCATGAATGTAGAAATCAGAACTTCTAAAATGACTTTTAGGCGTCAGATAACAAAGGGACTCTTCTCCAAGAGACACATTGAGCCTGGGGGAAACAGGTTCCTCTTTTACCCTCTTATCAGTGGTGAAATGTAAAATTTGTTGCTACCGGTTCTGTGGGCTTGGCTTGGTGGGTGTGGTTGGGAGTGGTAGGGTCATTTGACTCGGTGGGTGTGGCCTACTTTTTTTTTTTCTTTTTTAAAGCATTTTTTTACTATCTATTTGCTGGAACCGGTAGTCAAAAATGCTTTAAAAAAGAAAAAAAATGTTTCCGATGATCAGCCAGCACAACTGATTGACAACACATTTTTTTTCTTTTTAAAGCATATTTTTACTACTGGTTCCGGCGAATAGGTAGCAAAAATGCTTTTAAAAAGTTTAAAAAAAGGTTCTGACGATTGCGCGGACAGCTTTTTTTTGCGATCACCGGAATCTTTTTTTTTTTTTTACCTTTTAAAGCATTTTTATTACTACAGGTTCGCTTGAACCGTAATTTTTATCACTACTGGTTCGCCTGAACCGGAGTGAACCGGTAGCATTTCACCCCTGCCCTCTACTGCAGACCTCCAGCCTCTCTTGTTTCTTGGAAGAACCACCATGTCTTCTGCTGTGTCTCTTACACACAGCCATAGTTGGGAGAGACCACATCAGGCTCGGAGTATCATGATCCCCACACCGGTATAAATGCAACATCCACACTCTGGGGCACAGTTTCAAGTGGCCATCAAAATTCTTTAAGAAAAACACTTAATTTCTATAGATGTACATAAAAGTGCCAATGGAGCAGAGATACTTGCTTATACTTTCCTCTGAAGATCGATCATAAAATACGCAAGATCTGTCATCTTTTGCATCGAACATGAAATGCACTTTCACAAAAATATGAGCATTAGCCTTTTCTAACAGATGTTCATAAAATGATGATGTATCAGTCTGGAAGCTTCAAAGATATGCAAAATCAAAATTTAAAAACGTTTTTGTCCAAATCTAGTACACTACTCTTAAATAGGGAGTCTTCATTTAGTCTTGACTCTTCGAAGAATGAACATAGATACTGGGCAGGCTTTGTTGATAAAAATCAGAAATATTTGAAATTTCACCTCAGGTCAGAGTTTTGTGCTATTTCACCAAATCCTTCAAATCATACAGTGAATGTTACGCATACTTTCAATTTGTGACAGGGAAGTGAGAAGAGAAGAAATATGGAACTACAAGAACCTGTTTTCCAAATTATTTTAGATTTAGTCCCTATAAGAATGTGGTTCGTATAATAATCTAACGGCACTCCACCCTACTGTAACAACTGCTTCCAATTCCATGTATTTCAGGACTTAGAAGCTGCGTAGTTACACGTGAGCCATGGGTTGAGAACTGCTTTCTACTTCTTCTGAATTTGCAGAATTTCAGACCGCCATTTTTAAGTTTCTCCATTTCTAAGCAAGAAGATCCAGGAAATTTACCTTTTTTTTTTAAGCCATGATGTCTGTATGCAAGTTTGGCACATAGGACTTAACAAAGCTGGATCACAAGTCTACAGAGGGAATTCATTTTGAGATTGCAAGGAATGTTTTCTTTCTCCATATTTCCCTCCTTCAAAAAAAAAAAAAACCCAACTTAAACGATAACATGGCCTTCAATTAAAATGAAAAAGATGCTGGTGTTCCCTTGAAAAGAACAGGAGCCTACTGGGAAGAGTTTAAGAAGATCCATGTTGTCTCCCTCAGCAGCTAACCAGACAACCAGAAGCCCAGAAACTCATATCTAGACCTGACTTTTCTTACCAGCACTACTAATAATCAGAGGTAGGATGTCTCCAGGGATTTCCCAGCTGGCATGGCTAATCTCCTTCAGGTCTTCCTGCCTGACCCTCTTGTACTTTGGTTGCACAACCAATGTTTGCCCTGGGTGCTAGAATGCCAGGAAAGAAAATGGTCTATTTTTTTTCCAATGGCCACCCACACTGTTAGTATTGAAAACCCAGGAAGTCTTTCATGGTTCAGGTTCTTAAAAATGCACTCTCAGGAACTGAAAAAGCTCAATTTTTTTTCCTTCCTTCTAAAGACTATCAAGCCAATCTCCTGTTGCACTGAATGATACAGGAATGTGCCTTTTTCCAAATAGCAATCTGAGTGGCTGCTTCATGTCCACAAAAAGCTGGAGAGAGAAGGAAAAAGCAGGGTCTGTTCTCCTGCCAATGACATGCAGGGTTTTAATATTCAGGGGTGTTTTTTTGCTTTTTGTTTTGGCACAAGAGGACGTTTAGTCATGTAGCCCCACAACCCACAAGGGTAAGTTAAAAATATGTCTCTTAAGTTGTCTTAAGGATCCTTGGATAAGAGGAATTTAGCTGGTCTCCCCCTGAAGGCTCCTTTCTGCTATGCTGATCACCAGTGGTGGGATTCAGCCAGTTCGCACCACTTCGGGAGAACCGGTTGTTAACTTTCTGAGCAGTTTGGCAAACTGGTTGTTGGAAGAAATCATTAGGGCAAAGAACCGGTTGTTAAATTACTTGAATCCCACCACTGCTGATCACCCAGATGGAAAATACCTGCTGCCCATTTCCAGATGAAGGTCCAGTAATGCTTGCTCATTCTTATTGCTGACCCTGGCACATAGATTAGCTCATCCTTCTCCAATCGAATGCTTTTCAGATGGGTTGGAACTGCAACTCCCAGAATTCCTTTGTTCGCCTGGCCTCCAAACCACTGGCTAAGAATTCTGGGAGTTGCACAGTTCTGAAAGCCATGTTGCCTGAGGAGTTCTGGGAGTTGTAGTGAAAACAAATCTCCCTGGCAGGTCTGAAGACGGCTGGGAGTGCACATTCCATGATTCTATCCTGAACCTGGAAAGAATTGGCTAGATTTTCAAGCTATGCACAGAAGTCTTCCTTTAGAAGGGTGACTTAGTTGTTTCCTCCTCTTTCTGTCCTTCTAGAAATCCAGATTGCCTTTTCGAGGGCCTGACAGCACATGGGTGTATGCATGTGCACACGTACATTAAATCTTGCAACAAAACCTTAACACGCATTTGGATCTCCAGAGTAGGCAAGCAGTTTAAATGGGGTGGTAATTTGGAGCAGAGAAAGGGTAAGAGGAGATTGTTTCAGCTCTACCTTATAGCTTCTCTCTGGGGCAAACTGCCTGCCTAGGAAATAGATTTTCACCAAAAAAAAACCCCAGCAGCCTTGGACTTTATGCCGAACATGGTTGGAACAGAAGGAAGGAAGAAGCTAAGGTGTGCACACAGTGAAACATGCACACAGCACATGTGGGTATTGACAGAGCTACATTCACATAACAGATTTCACCTGGTTACTGGATTGAGCTATTTTGTGTGTGTGTGTGTGGATTTGCACAATATATCAACTTCAAATGAATCAAACAGGCTGGGTTTGCATAACATGCTAAGATATACAAAAAAATAAAATCCTAACCAAGGTTAAGAGTAGCAATAAGCTCAGTATGTTGTGCAAATACAATCTTCAGCCAACTGGGCAAAACATGTTGTGTGAATGTAGTCAGACACTGGATCCCAAGGAGCACAGAGACCAAACATCTGCACAGATCTCTCAATCTTGCAATTCCCACGGAAAGGCTAAGCACATGCTAAGCACACGCATAGACCCCCATGGCCTATTCGCAGAAATACAAAGTGGGGCTCCAGAATCCAAGTACGCAAGTCCACATATAAACCCAAGGCACCACTTTATAGGACAAAGGTTTTAAAGAGGATCTGTAGAGGTGTATTTGGGGGACAGGGTAGCAGCCCCCACCTTAATGCCAGCTTGTGAGCAGCTGCCAGCTGATGACAGAAGCTTATGTGCTCAGCGGGGCGTGCAAAGCTTTTTGCAACCACAAAGCGTACAAGGAGAGAGAGTCAAGGATCCCTCGCTTCTCCTCCACTTTGCGGGATGCGCAAGGAGAAGGATGTATTCACAAGGAGTATTTACAAGAACCCGGGCTGCCCCAGACCATCTCTGTGCAAGCCAGGCACAGAACTCATCCCCCAAGGAAGGAAGCAGGGAGAACCAGCTCCCAGTGGTTTTTCCAAAAACCAGCTCTAGCTGGTGAGCTGCGTGCAGCTGGTGGCAGGACTCGGCAAGAGAAGCTTTTCTTCAGCCCAGCTCATACAGAGACATGCAGGCTGGGGGCTGCTTGCCTGCCCCTTCTGTACTCATTCAGACACTTCTGCATGTGCACACAGTCCACTCTCAGCTCGCCGGTGTGTCTCCCAGAAGACCCGGTCCAATTGCTCCAGCTGTGGACTCAGGGGAAGTTGCATAGCCAGGTGCATGCGGAGAGCTTCCAGCCACTGCTCCAACCGACTGAAGGAAGGCCTGGAGAGAAAAAGCAGAAGAACGTGAGGAGTTTTGCTTGATCAGGCTAAAAGCCCCAAATGGCCTAGAGCAACCCACCCTCACCCTCACCCCCCCAACCTTTGGGGCACAGGGACCAGTTCCATGGAGGGCATGTTTTCCACGGACCTGGGCAGATGTGATTTTGCGTGTTGCTTGGATCCCGCACATGTACAGATGGGGCTTTGCTCGCTTGCGCAGCCTGGTTCTTGGTGTGCTGTGAATTGGTGCCAGTCTGCGGCCTGAGGGTTGGGGACCCCCTGGCTTAGTGGGCCCTAGACAGAGTCTGAAGGCACCACACTATTTTTCAGTCTTGGCAGGTTGAAAATGTATGGACTTCCCAGCATGTGTGTGTGCCTGTGTGTTTCCCTCCATTGAATATACCGTATTTTTCAGAGTATAAAACGCACCAGAGTATAAGACGCACCTTAATTTTTGGGGAGGAAAATAAGAAAAAAGCTGATTGGTAGGTGGATCGGCCTTCCGGAATACCCCTAATCAGCTGTTCCCAGAGGTGAATTTTATCAACAGGTTTGTTGGTTGTGAGCTCTGTGCCTTGCTTTTTTTTTCTGCCTCTGAAGCTTCTGAAGCTCAGTTTCAGAAAAAACTTTTTTTTCTGCCTCTGAAAGCCTCCGAAACAGAGCTTCAGAAAAAAAGGCTTTTTTTCTGAAGCTCTGTTTGGAGGCTTTTTTTCTGAAGCTTCTTTCAGAGGCTTCTTTCAGCCTCTGAAATCTCAGTTTGGGAGGCTGGGCGGGGCTACATTCTGAGTATAAGACACACCCAGATTTTCACCCTCTTTTTAAAGGGAAAAAGGTGCATCTTATACTCCGAAAAATACGGTACATATTTTTCTCCACTGAAAGAGGACAAGAATCATGGTCACCAGGAGTCAAAAATATCTTGACAGCACATAATCAGTTCCTCAAAAATATGAGCATCGGCTACTCGCCATTTAAAGAGGACAAGAATCCTGGTAAACATAGGGGAAATGCTGGATAGGGATCAGGATCTAATAAGAAGGAGAAGAGTTTCCTTCAAGTTCTCTATACTAGTCCTTTCTCAACCTCAGCAACTTTAAGATGTGGGACTACTATTTGCTGGCTGGGGAATTCTGGCAGTTGAAGTCCGCACATTTTCATGTTGCTAAGGTTGAAAGCCATCATTATGTAGACCTAGAGACAGTAAAGGTTGGAAGCAACCTTGGCTCTCATCTAGTGAGATTGAAGGTCAATTGGCAAAAGAAAAAAAAAAACTGGATGTGGGAGCAGCAAAAGAACAGCTGAACTTCCCACAGTCTGAATTTTACTGGAAGGTTGGAAAAGCCTTCACCTAATGTTTCTCAACCTTGGCAACTTGAAGATATATGGACTTTAGCTCCCAGAATTCCCCAGGCAGCATGCTGGGAATTCTGGGAGTTGAAGTCCACACATCTTCAAAGCTGCCAAGGTTGAGAAGCACTGGCTTAATTTGTCCTCCCAGGCTGGACCATCTGCCTTGAGGAAGACTCATCCCTTTCTCCAAGCCACATATCCTCTCATCCCCATATCTAGGGGCTCCCCTGACTCTCTGGTCTGACACGTCTGTTTCCACTTGCTCACCGTTTCTCATGATCCAAATCACAGCAACAAACAGCAATAGGAAAGAAGCTGGGAGGACAACTGGGAGGACAGTAGCGGTCCAGGAAGCCTCGCACATTGAGGCCAAAATCCAAGGTTCGAGGCAAGTAATCGGGGTCTGCGCTGACTCTTCCAATGATCTGTGCAAAATAAAAATGGAGTTGTTACAGGTTTCTCTGGACTGATCTAGGCTTGGTTAACAAGCTAGAATAGTGATAGCTAACCTTTTCCGGACCGAGTACCCAAAGCGTGTGTGCGTGCCCCCGAACCCCCCAAATGCAATGCGTGAGCAGGGCCCATGCATGCGCCCCACCCCATGTATGCGTGCATAGCCCACTGCACGCGCACGCCCCCCTGTGCATTGCGTGCACAGCCCCCCTGCATGTGCCCTGCCCCCCGCAGCAGAGACGCAAAGATCAGCTTTTCCAACTAACAAAATATATTGAAAGGCATAAACTTTCATAAATTGCAGCTCACATCACCTATCAAATATTAGTGTCTTTTTGATGTGAGTAGTTATTACACAATATCACCAGGGGTGAATTGCTACCGGTTCACTCCGGTTTGGGCGAACCGCTAGTGATAAAAGATACCAGTTCAGGTGAACTGGTAGTTAGCTACCGGTTCGGTTGAACTGGCAGTTTAAAAAGCTACTGGTAGTTAGCTACTGGTTTGGTTGAACCGGTAGTTTAAAAAAGCTACCGATATTTCCGATGATCCGATGATCAGCTGTGCAGTGAGGTTTAGCTAGCTTTCTAGCGAAGCTAAATCACGCGCCACAGCTGATTCCCCCCCCAGCTGTTCTACTTACCATCCCCATTCTCCTTTTGGTGTGTACTGCGCACAGCACGCACCAAAAGGAGAATGGGGAGGGTAAGCAGGAAATCCTGCTTTCTAGCGAAGCTAAATCGCGCACCACAGCTGATCCCCCCTCGCTTCTGCTTACCTTCCCAAGCCTCCTTTTGGCACGCACTGCACTTGTGCGCGCATTTGGTATGCACTGCACATGCACACACAGCACGCATTTGGCACGCAGTGCGCATGCGCAGCCAGCAAATCAGTAGCAAACTGGTTTGGATTTCACCACTGAATATCACCCCAACCCACACTGTACAACTGAGATACCAGCATATTTTTAACTTACTACTATTTGTTTAGCAACCATTCAAAGTTACATCGGCACTGTGAAAAATGTGATTTATACATGCATATGTATAATGTATAATACTCTTGCATATTCAACCATTGCAGTCCCATGATTAAAATTTAGGTGTTGGGTAGCAACTGCTTTCGCTACGGACAGTTAATTTTCTCAGTCCTAGTCTTTAGCCCTTACCAAAGCAGGCAAAACACCTAGATGACCCTTAGGTGGCAGTTCTAAAATGTCCTTAAATGTTCTGCTTCTCTCTGCTGCCATCTAGTGATTACCTGAATCAGTGTTTCTCCAACTTAGCCACTTTAAAATGTGTGGATTTCAACTCCCAGGGGAATTCTGGCAATTGAAGTCCATACATCAAGATGGATCTAAGGATCTAAAACACTGGCCTGGATTCTTACAGCTCAAATTTGGTAGCCCTGATCCATATACCACACCGGGTCTTGATCATAACCAAGACTCTCCTATTTTTTTTTCCTATTGAGAACCACATCACTTTTGGTGTTGCATGCAGATGTGTTTAAAACTCAAAACAAGAGAAACAAAACCATCCCTTTTCCCTCTTTTTTGCCATTTGATTTTTTGCTCTTGCTTCTCAAAATGAGGTTAAGTTCAATAACTCTTCCTTTAAAGGATTAATAACAAGGATAGAGAATGCTGGCATCAGGCATCTGCCAGAACCACTTTCTGGAAATGTTCCTCTAGATTTCTCTAGCAACCCTTCCTTCCTCCTTGAATGCTTTATGTTCCTGGGACTTGCCTCACATAGGATGATGCCAAAAGAGAAGACATCCACTTTCTCATCGTAACTTCTCCCTGCAAAAAGATGACAAAAGACGAAAGAACATATTTAGCTATCAGGCCCAGACATCCTAGCCAGGGGTGGACTATTGTTTGGAGCTGGTGAGTTCATCTAGCATTTGTAAAGCAGCTCATGGGAGCTCTCACAAAATGGCTTCCTTAAAGACCCATGAGCTCTCATATTAATCTGTCCCAAAGTACTGTAGCTGTAAGGGAAATTGTCCCTTTCTTTTGCTGCCCATTTTATCTTAGTTTCAATGTGCCCAGAAAAAAATCCTCCTGTTCCTCAAAGTTATTCCCTCTGCGCATTACACAGACATGGCTTTCCTGGGCAGCTTCCCAAACATGATCCTTGTTTCCCTTGTTGCTGACCACAATTAAGTCAGATCTGGTGAGGCTCTATCCCAAGAATGGGGAATGATGGCCCTTTTATGTCTTGTGGACTTCAACTCCTAGAATTTCTGAGCCAGCCATTCTGAACTCAGGAATTCTGGGAGTTGAAGTCCACAAGTCATAATGAGGCCATCATTCCTCATCTCTGGTCTATCCCAACCAGGGGTGAAATCCAGCAGGTTCTAACAAGTTCTGGAGAACCGGTAGGGGAAATTTTGAGCAGTTCGGAGAACCGGTAGTGGAAATTTTGAGTAGTTCTGAGAACCGGCAAATATCACCTCTGGCTGGCCCCCAGAGTGGGATGGGAATAGAGATTTTGCAATATCCTTCCCCTGGAGTGAGGTGGGAATGGAGATTTTGCAGTATCCTTCCCCTGCCATGCCCACCAAACCACGCCCACAGAACCGGTAAGGAAAAATTTTGGATTTCACCCCGATCCCAACCCCCAACTCCCCTGCTCAACTCACCATTGATCATCTCAGGAGCCATCCAGTAAGGGTTGCCCACCACGGTGTACCGTTTCCTTCGGTCAGGTTTCTTCAGGGTTGCTAGCTGGTTCTTCTCATCCACCATCAACCGAGCAAGGCCAAAATCGGCCACTACCACACTTTTGTTCTGTGTAAAGGACAGAAAGAATATTTTCCCCCCTTTCTTTTAATTATCCAGTGGATTTAGCACTTTCAGTTTACAATGCTTTAATGCTGCTGGCAGACAAGACTGTATTTAAGAAAAGAGGAAATACCAAATTTCAAAAAACAAATTTTTGTTGTTCACCATGTTACCTTCAAATGATGTGGCTTGTTTTTGAAGCAAAACAAATATCAGCCGAACTTGATTATTTTAAATATTATTTATTTATAGAATGTTATTTTGAAATGAACTTATTTTATACTCAATTTACCTACTATTATTATTACATTAAAAGTATCACTACAGTTTTTAAGTTAGCTTTATTTTTTTTTCATGGATTGGAGGGTTTAATTCAACTGAAAAAGACAAAATTCTTGTTATTCTTGTTACAGAACGTTAACAACTAGTATTTACTGATTGTGTGATAAACTAATATCAGATATTAGAGGGGTCCAGGGTTGGCCTTGACATTTCTAATAAATATTTGTCTCCAAAATCTCCACTGGTGAAATATTGGTTAGTAGTAGAATATTTACAGACTTTGCAATATCTACAGAAGTGACCATGCTGGTAGATGTCAGTATATTTTGATCTATTTTAAATTTCCATCCTGTCAAAATAGAAAATGGTTTTGTGGGATAGTAGCTGTAACACTAAAAATATCCACTCAGTGTACATAAAAGTCAAGAAAGTATTGTCATTTACTATATCTATATCACATTATTTTTTTTTGCATACATACCAATCACACTATTCCCTTTTGGTAAGCAAAATTTTACAAAGCTCAGAAAAGGAGCAGCATATAATAAGCCAAAAAGAATTTCAAAAATGAGATGAGAAAAAGAGAGGGAAATAAATCTAATTTATACTTTCTACAACCACAGCTCTCTGTGTGTCTTTCTGATCCTTTTGACTCTTCCACTCATCCTCTACTGTTTTCATTTTGCCAATCAATCCTTTTCATTCTCTCTATATGATTAAACCATCTCAACAAATTCCTTTCCCATTGAAATTCACTATTGCATTCAATCCATATGCTTTCAAATGCATTTATTTTTGTTTTACTGGTTCTCTATTCTTACTGTTTTCAACTTTTCTCCTTACATAGTCAGTTCTCATTTCCACATAACAAAGTGAGAAGTCCAGAGAGTTATTTTCAGTTCTTTTTTTCAAACATTAATTTCTTGGAACAGGCTTCTGTTTCTGTCATTACTTTCTAGTTTGTAGTGGCTCACTTTCTTTCTAACAGCATTGAATGTTTAAAAATTTCACCATCCATTGTTTGTTAACAGAAAAGACTGAATTCAAGTTATTATTTATCAGAAAAACTAGTCCCTGAGAATCTGAAGCCAAAAAAAGCAAAATGACATCTGGAAATGTCATGCAAAATCCTGTAAATATTAACCATTGCTTTGTTTGATAGATAATAATATAATTATTAAAATACATGGCGTGTATTTTGCCTAATTCCTACCCCAATGATTTTTTTTTAGTTTTACTTGTGAGACAAGTAATTGCACAATTATTGCACAATTACTGTTTTAGGGGGCTGAAAGTATTGTAAAATTTGAAAATCCTAATATGAAGTGAGGCGATACAAGTGTTAAATGCTGGGGAAATCAGGAGATTCGGGCAGTTCAAATGAGTATACAGATATATTGCAAAATCTACAAAAATCTGAGCTACTAATGGACAAGGAAATGAATGGGAATTAAGAAGGCATTCAAGGTGGGCTGGACTTAGATATCTTGTGGGCGTGGTGGGACTCGTGACTTATGACTCGTTTGACCCTTCCCTCAGGCTCAGCCTGGTCATCTCCTACAATAAGGATAAGCAATATCCTAGCAGTAGCAATAGCACTTAGATTTATATACTGCTTCACAGTGCTTTACAGCCCTCTCTAAGCGGTTTACAGAGTCAGCATATTGTCCCCCACAACCTGGGTCCTCATTTTACCCACCTCGGAAGGATGGAAGGCTGAGTCAACCTTGAACCTGGTGAGATTCGATCTGCCAAGTTGCAGGCAGCCGGCAGCCGGCAGCCAGCAGAAGTAGCCTGCAGTACTGCACTCTAACCACTGTGCCACCTCGGCTAAATACCTAAATGGTATTCTCCCAAAAGCTGATCATTGAATTACTGTAATATATTATCTAAATTTGTAGAATACAATTGAAGTATAAACTAACCAACCAGCTGGATTTACAGAACATATTAAGCCACCGGATTATAACAACCAAGCTAACCACAATTGCATCTCATTAAGTTTAGCATGTGACACACATAAAGTCACTAAAATTTTAAATGATTTAGCAGTGCATGCACATCTTAGACATAACCAACCAGTTTACTTAGCCTTGAGAAAAGCTGAATCGGGGCAATGCAATAGTACTGAATGGATATCACACTGAAAGTAAAGAGCTGTTCACAATCATTCCAGAATGTAGAAAGTGGAATGATGGGGCAAGTTCTCATTTAAATGTTACAAAAAGGTGGTGTTTTTTTTAAATATTAAGAGCAATTTGATAGTGGAAGCAATTAATGAAATAGCAGTGGATTTTTCTTTACTGAATGTGTTCAAGCAAAACTGGGCAGCCAATTATCTGAAATACTTTAATTTGGATTCCAGCAGTGGATAGGGATTTAGGCTGAATAGGGTTAAATAGCCTAACCCAGGGATCTGCAACCTTAAACACTCAAAGAGCCCTTTAGACCCGTTTCCCACAGAAAAGAAAACACTAGGAGCCACAAAACCTGGGTGGGCATAGCCAACTCGATGTCACTCACTTCCACCAGTCACATGATCCCCTAGCCACGCCTACCCAGTCGGCCATTAGGGCAGAGAACCGGTTGTTAAAAAACACTGGGAACCACAAAACCCTTTTGATCTCTCTCTCTCTCTCTCTCCCACTCCCTCCCTCCTCCCTCCCTCCCCCCTCTGTATCTCTCTATGTTTCTCTCTCTCTCCCCCTCTCTCTGTCTCTGCCCCGGTAGCTTCTCCATCCCCCCCCCGGTCGGTCTTATCTTCTCAAGCCAGGGGTGGAGTGACTGGGAGGGGAGGGCAAGGGGCGGGGCCAGCTAGTGGTGGGATCACCTGACTGGGAGCCACAGTAGAGGGCCCAAAGAGTCACATGCGGCTCTGGAGCCGCAGGTTGCTGACACCTGGCCTAACCGATTTAACCCAAGTAGCCTAAATTGGGGTTTCTCAACGTTGGCTCCTTGGCACTGGCTGGGGAATTCTGGGAGTTGAAATTCATACATCTTAAATTTGCCAAAGTTGAAAAACAATAGCTTAAATGCTTTCTTCCAACTCTATGATCCTGTAATTTCATGTACAATTCCCTCTTTCAGCTTTCAGGAAGATAAACCACAAATCAGTCTTGGATTAACTTCTGCCTGCTCCTGAGAAATCTACCTGTTAATCAGTGGTGAAATCTTCCCTGGTTTGCCACCGGTTCGCTGCCCATGCATGTGCAGCGTGTGCCAAGTGCACGCTGCGCACGTGCATGCACAGTACATGCCAAATGCATGCTGTGTACGTGCGCACATGCAGTGCATGCCAAACACATGCTGTGCATGCATGCACACTGCACGCTAAATGCACGCTGCACGCATGCACATTACACACCAAACGTGCTGTGTGCAGAAAAAGGAGGCTTGGGAAGGTAAGTAGAACAGCGGGGGGGGGGTGTAACAGCTGTGCCGCGCAATTTAGGTTCACTAGAAAGCAGGATTCGGACCAACCAGTAGCTTTTATCACTACCGGTTCGCCCAAACCGGTGCGAACCGGTAAGATTTCACCACTGCTGTTAGTTTGTTAAAAGTGTAGGAGACAATAGAGGGAACAAACCTGAACTTGGCTACTAGTTCCAAGTTCTCATTTTCTATTCACACAGTAATCTGAAACAAAGCAGAGATTTGGAACAAAGTACAATTTGATAACAGAGGCGGGTTTCTACGATCCTGCATCCTCAAATGTTATATATTTTCACAAATCAGAGATTGTAACATTCAAGCCCTATAATAATCCTTTTCTTCATCTGTTGTTTTTAAGATGATGTTCTTAAAAATTAAGGATACCCTTCATAACTTACTTTCTCAAAATATGACCAGCAACATTTTCTCCTTGCTTTTAAAATTATTTAATTTTTAAAGATCAACAAACTTAGCAAACCGAATAATGAAAATAAAACTTAAATTAATGAATGAATTAAAAATTTAACCAGTGCCAGCTTACTTCTCGCACAAGGCAGTTATGTGTATTGAGGTCCCTGTGAATGATATTCATAGAATGGAGATAAGCCTATAAAAAGAAATGAGAAAAAAGAGTTAGAAATTTTGTTATTCTTCCATAATTCTTTTTTTTTTTAAAAGGATATGGCTGACTTCACTTTATCCAGCACTGCTAGATGCTCTTAATACATATAATAAGACTGTTCCCATTTTATAGGAGGCTGAGTTCTTATTTTTGAAGTGAAACTTGACCTATCGTAGCATATAGGTAGTCCTTGAGTTATGACCGGTCACTTAGCAGCCATTCAAAGTTACAACAGATTTACTGTACTTATGACCCAGATTTGAAGTTCAAATGATCACATGACCAAACTTCAGATCTTTGGCAACATGGCCATATTTACAGCCTTTTGCAGGAGTCACATGATTACATTTTATTACTGTTTTGCCGAAAACTGGCACTTCCAGATTTTGGCAAAATTGCACCCATAATCAACCATTGGTTTGCTTACTGATGTTAAGCAGCATTCGCTTAACAACCTCAGATTCACTTAACGACTAATGCAAAAAAGTTTGTAAAATTAAGTTTAGTCAAGTGACTGACCTGTTTTGACAGGAAACATGAGTGTATTTTTTATTTTAACCAAATCTATTTTACCCACCCTTATTCATAAGCAAGTAAAAATGAACCCAACTGATTCAGATTCGAAAAGTCCACACAATCTAGCATTGTGCTTACAAGACTGCCCAGTAAGTTATTCTGGAAAGCTCACAAGCAACATGCTTTGTTATTATTACCAAGCCTATGTTGCTTCAAGTTATGGAGGCTTCATTTGGTTTGCTCACATACTTTTAAAGGCTAGTGAATAAGACAGAAAGGACATTTTAAAATGATTCCTGCAAGATGCTTTCCTGATGCCCCCCCAGAATTACTGGTTCAGTCTGCTGCTACAAATTCATGCTCGCACTCACCATCCCTGAAGCGATGTCTTTTGCAAAACTGACCCGCTGGCTCCAAGGATACTGACTATCCTGGAAGAAAAAGGTTGCTGGTGAGTGAAGTATTTTGAAAAGTTGGGGTGAAACCTCTCACTTCTATCAGGAAAGAGAGAGTAGCAGGAAAGAGACTTCGCATCCTTTTCATGACTATGTTCACAAAACACACTTCAGCTGGTTACTGAATTAATCATGTTTGCACAATACTTTAAATCAGGGGTCTCCAATTTTGGCAACTTTAAGATTTGTGGACTTCAACACCCACAAGGGCAACATGGCCATATTTATGGCAAAGCTGGCTGAGGAAGTCCACAAGTCTTAAAGTTGCCAAGATTGGAGACCCCTGCTCTAAATCAAAAACTTGAGTATTATTATCTCAGTTTAGTAGATTGCACACATGCAGTTGTGAGATCTTTGCTGATAACTAGACCAGAGGTGGGTTCTACTTACCTTTACTACTGGTTTGCAACGGGATTGTGTGCCTTGCTTCTGCGCATGCGCAGATCACTGATGACGACATCCGGGGTGGTGGGCAGAGCCTCCCGCCAGTTTTACTATCAATTCTTGCGAACCGGTCTGAACCGGGGACAACACACCACTGGTTCAGACCTGGAGAATAGTACTGTGACAATATTGGTCATGCTTGATGATGACATCTGGTGGAACCAGGAGAGAGATAGTGCAACCATCCCGATTCTACTTGATCCATAAGTGGAAGTGTTGTTCTCTTCCTTTTTAGACGGATGAGTCCAGTTGGTCTTGACAGTGGAGAAGGAACAGGCTTAGGCCTTAAATCTGACAAGGCCAAATGAGTGGCTGTGGATATATGGGCCTCCAGAGTTGAATCCACAAGTCATAAAGTTGCCAAGGTTGGAGACCCCAGCTCTAGAATTCAGTTTGTGCTCAGGCAGCGGTGTTTTAACATGTAGTGTCAATTACATCATGACGTTAAGTCATAATACAGTTTGCTTGGCTACAACATGCTACATGAATACAGCTATTGTGTTTTATTAATCCTGGCTTACTGTGCTGTGTGAACCCAGCCAGATTGTCTCTGCTGCTCTCCCTCCTCCTGCTCAGATGCTCAATATTCTTACATTAGATTTGATGTAGGTTCTATGCCCTCACCATGCTCTTAATGATCCCACGAAGGGTGCCTCCCTTGATGTACTCTGTGATGAAGTTCAGCCTCTTGTCTTTGTAGAGGACGCCAATGAACCTCAGCACATTGGGATGTTCCAGGCAGCGCATTACCTTCACCTAAGGAACAAAAACCACAAGACAGTTAATTCTGCATTCCTCAAAATCTCTTGCTGTTGACAGGAAACTGCATACAACCTCAGGAAAAAAATTGTTGATTTTGTAAAATATTGGGCTACTACCTGCTTCTCTGTAAGTGCTGTAGCAACTACCTAAACTTTGGAGACATCACACAAGGAAAGATTTTGACAAATATTGTGGAGGAACGGCTTGTCATAGAATATTAAAGGTAAAGGTTCCCCTCACACATATGTGCTAGTCATTCCCGACTCTAGGGGGCGGTGCTCATCTCCGTTTCAAACCCGAAGAGCCAGCACTGTCCGAAGATGTCTCCGTGGTCATGTGGCCAACATGACTAAACGCCAAAGGCGCACGGAGTGCTGTTACCTTCCCACCAAAGGTGGTCCCTATTTTTCTACTTGCATTTTTTAACGTGCTTTCGAACTGCTAGGTTGGCAGAAGCTGGGACAAGTAATGGGAGCTCACCCCATTACGCAGCACTAGGGATTCAAACTGCTGAACTGCCGACCTTTCGATCGACAAGCTCAGCATCTGAGCCTTATAGAATATTATAGAACAGCATATGCTCCATATGAAACTTAAACCAGAAATCCTTGCTTGCAGTGTCAAAACAGTAGGGATCACCATATACCAGGGATGTCAAACTCTATTTCATTGAGGGCCAAATTAGGGTTATGCTTGACCTCGGGGGACCAGGGTGTGCCTGTGGTGGCCCGAGCGCTCTGCCAGTGAAAACGGGATCCCGAGCTCCATTTTTGGCTGCAATGGCTTCCTGCAACCCTCTGTCAACAAAAACGGAGCTCAGAAGAGCCGCCCACAGCCCCCGCAAGCTCCATTTTTGGCTGTGATGGCCTCCTGCAACCCTCTGCCAGTGAAAACGGAGCTTGGGCAGGCCGCTCACAGCCCTTCCCAGCTCCATTTCTGCTGGCAGAGGCACCACAGGCCAGTCCTTTGCTGTTTCCAGGGCGGCTCTGCGTGCCAGATCTAAGCACCCTGGAGGCCAGATCCGGCCCCCAGCCTTGAGTTTGACACCCCTGCCATATACATTTAAAGAAGAGGGACACAGATTTAAATTAGGCAACATTTGATGTGGGGAGTAAAAAACAAAAACTTAAATGATATTAAAAGGAAATCAACAGAAAGGAAACTTCTCTAGCCACTGGACTAAGCTGGAGTAACCAACCTCTTTAAGAAACGTTCTTTGGGTCTCCTCATCGAAACGGATAAGTTCCTTCATGGCCATCACTTCTCCAGTCTCCCGGTGGGTCACCTGATGAAGAAGGCAGATGGCATTTAGGGCTTTGTTAGAGGAGGAAGCATTTAGAATCATACAGTTACAAGGGATGTTAAGGGTCACTGTAATGGGCAGTAAAAATAATCTTGAGAGACAGGAAGAAGAGCCGCAATGGTCTGATAAACGAAATACAAGTGCAACACAGGAATGCAATTTGAAGAAGTGTCACAGAAGTGCCCTAATGCTCTCTAAGATAAAGGCAGGGAGGAGAGGCACACTGAGGGTTACCTTAGAACAGGGCTCTCCAACCTTGGCAACTTTAAGCCTTGTGGACTTCAGCTCCCAGAATTCCTCAGCCAGCCAGAGTTGAAGTCCACAAGTCTTAAAGTTGCCAAGGTTGGAGAGCCCTGCCTTAGAAGACTCTAGTTTTTAGTGTATGCATAGACCATTTTTCATTTTCAATTTTCTAGGATAAGCTAAAATAATGCAATTATGTGCATGGATCTGCTAATCCAATCTCCTCCTCAGTCAGATTTTGTAAGAGTCTGAGTCACTGAACAATGACTGTGCAACACAGAAATTCCAGCAACAGGCTGGCTAGATTGAGCCATAATCTAGATCCAGCTGGTAGAAAGGGCACAAAATACCATGCCTGCATCTTCTAAAATGTTACTGTTTGATTGTTTTTAAAATAGCGACAAAAAAAAAGAAAGAAAAGAAAAACACAAAGTTAAAAATACATACATTATTTTAAAAAAAACATAAAGGGGATTTTTTTTTTTTAAAAAAAGTGAGCTAAAATACAGCAAAAATAATGTATACCATTTTAACAGTAACAATGATAATTCTATACAGGTAGCCTTCAATTTATAACCATTCATTTAGCGAGCATTAAAAGTTACAACAGCACTGGAAAAAGTTTTTTATGACCTATCCTCATACTTACAACTGTTGTAGCATCTCACATAAATCATGGACTACCAGTATATAGTTAACTAATGCAGTTATTAAGGAAATCAATCCTGACTGCTCTTTGGAAGGACACATACTGAAGCTGAAGCTCAAATACTCATTGGAAAAGATCCTGATGTTTGGTAAGATTGAAGGCCAAAGGAGAAGGGGGCAATAGAGGATGAGATGATTAGATAGTGTCATTGATGCAATGAACATCAATTGGTGCAAACTCCAGGAGACAATTCCTGGCATGCTGCAGTCCATGGGGTTGCAAAGAGTTGGGCATGACTTAATGAAAAACAATGCAATTATTATTCAAATATATATGAATCTCTAATATATACAGTATATATAACTCTTTTTTAACCTGTTGTATTTAGTGTAAATGAGTTTCATATTTGATTACATTTGTCTATCTATAGGCAATCTGCTCATGAGTGGCAAATACAATCAGCCCTCCATCCATTGAGTAAATGGGGTATATGTTTCTCTTTCCAGTGCCGGAATATCAGTCTCTTGGGCACAGTATGGGCACAGAGAATGCATTTACATTGTCCGGTTGCCACATTCCAAGTGCTTGGTATGTAATTCAAAAGAATATCATTGTCTGAACATTTTAGATTTTGTCACACAATCATATTGATACAGTCTACTACTTTTACATTGTTTACTACTTTTGTAAGTAAAGGGCATTGTACAAAATGTATCCTTATTACATCCCCAACAAAATCCTGTCCTGATACCATGCCTGTACCTTAATGGCCTGCCCGAAGCAGCCCTTGCCCAACACCTCGCCATGAATGAGATCCGAGGGGCGGAAGATGCGATGAAGACGGGAGACAACACGCAATGATTCTGAGCGGCCAATATCTTTCCTCTGGGAGGAGGGGGAGCCCAGAGAGCTGGAACAAGGTGACTTATCAATGCTACAGCTCCTCCTGTGCAGAAGAAGAGAAATGTTCTTCTCAGGTATACATCGGGTATGCTCTTCTCACAAAAGACCAATTTCCAGGTGCCCCAGTTCAATTTTTCTAGGTTCAGGGAGAAACTGGAAGAATTTCATCTTGAACAACTTCCCGTTTGCCCTTAATTCCATCTTAATTAAGACAACACAGCTTGCAATTTACCCTCACCTCCTTTGCACTGGTAAAACATTACAAAATGGCCATTTTCACAGGAGTAGAATCTGTGCCTCTGTTGGCTGCACGTGGCCCCCCAAGCTCCGTTTTTGCTGGCAGAGGGTGGCAAGAGGCCAGCACAGCTGAAAACGGAGCTCAGGAGCCCGTTTTCGCTGGCAGAGCACTCGGCCACCACACACGCCCCCAACACAAATGACATCAAGCTGGCCATGCCCACCCTGGCCACATCCATCCCAGCCCCAGAGGTCAAACACAACCCTGATACGATAAAATCAAGTTTGACACCCCTGTTATATATTCTCTTCTACTCTTGAGATCTGTTGACCTCTGCTAGGATATAACTAATTCACAAATTTAAAATTTCTTTACTTAAGTTTCTCTTTGCTCAAAACTTCTTTATTCAAGAATCCTAGAAAATGCAAGCACGCAAAGGAGGAATCTGACATACTTTGGAAAAACACATTTCCTAGGGTGTGTTGCTCACAAACAGATGGAACTGTAAATTATTAAGCAGAGAGGGACAGTGTATGAATAATACACTTATCCAGTTGTCTTAGCAGTTGTATCAGAAATACACTGAATTCAGTTAATCTTGGTAGGTTTTTTTTGTGACATATACCCCCAGTCCATTTAATTCCTTTCAGTCTGGTGTATTGCATTAGCCTAGGAAACAAGTTGATTCAGTAAATATATAAAGGGCAATGTGTAAATAAAGCCAGCATGAGACTGGAAAATAGAAATGGAAGTTGGCCAAGAAGGCACCATCTTTGGGTTTGCCAGGGATTCTGCTCGTAGGGGCTCCTTTTCTGCCTGTCTCTACATTTATAATTTCAAGGCTGCCTTCCTCAACCTGATACCTTGTAGGCTGCCAACCTGGCTGGGGACTTTGTGGACTCTAAGTGCTTTCCCAACACAATCTTCAGGGCAGTGGTGAAATTCAATTTTTTTTACTACTGGTCTGTGGATGTGACATGGTTTGGTGGGCATGGTGTGGCTTGGTGGGCGTGGCAGGGGAAGGATACTGCAATATCTCCATTTCCACCCCACTCCAGGGGAAGGATACTGCAAAATTCCCATTCCCTCCCCACTCCTGGGGGAAAGATATTGCAAAATCTCCATTCCCACACCACTCTGGGACCAGCCAGAGGTGGTATTTGCCGGTTCTCTGAACTACTCAAAATTTCTGCTACCGGTTCTCCAGACTACTCAAAATTTCCACTACCGGTTCTGCAGAACCTGTCAGAACCTGCTGGATTTCACCCCTGCTTCAGGGCACTAGAATTGGTCTCCTCCGGGTCCCGTCAGCTAAACAGTGCCGGCTGGTGGGCCCCCGGGGGAGGGCCTTCTCTGTGGCTGCCCCAGCTCTCTGGAACCAGTTACCTCCTGAGATCCAGACCATCCCCACCCTATTGGCCTTCCGAAAAGCGGTGAAGATCTGGCTTTTCCGGCAGGCCTGGGGCCATTGATCTCGCTGTTGTGATCTGGCGCGATCCGGCCATGAATAGTGTGAATGGGATTTAATTGTTTTTAATGTTTTAATGTTTAATGTTTTTATATATGGTTTTTAAATGCATTGTAAGCCGCCTTGAGTCTCTGGAGAAAGGCGGCATACAAGTTGAACAAATAAAATAAATAAATAATAAATAAACTAAGCTAGGGAAAAGCGCACTAACTATTTTCTAGTTGCATTTCTACAGCATGAGAGCAAAAACTTTTCTACGGAGGAGGGAAGGGGAATCTACTTCAGAGAGCCATCTTCTACTCAATCCTTACATGACTGTGCGCTGGCGAATGGCTGAAGGGTCCGGGCAAGGCGTGTGGCTGGGCGAATGGAGAGGACTGCGCAGCTCCGAAAGAGGGCTGCTTTCAATGATCTCATGAGGGTCGTGTTCAATGGTCAGCTGCAGCAGGCGACTGGTCTCTTGGATCAGAAGATCGATCTGTGGAGATAGAGAAGGCAGGCTGAGAAGAGAGGCAATACATCCTGACAGGCACGGGACCACATTGTGGAAACAAAAATGAGAAGAGGATGATTGAGTCAGTAGTGACAAAAAAAAAATCACCTCATCCAGCGGAACATGACGGATTGGTGTGCCATTGATTTCCAGAATGCGGTCACCGACATGGATGGAATTCTTCATATCGGGGCTTATGCAGTCTGGGTCTAATCTAAAAATACAGAAGGGGGCAGCAAAGGAGGCTTAAGTTACTCTGTTCTGGCATATATCTCCCAAACTAAGCCTCAGGAAAGCGATAGCATGCTAGAGCTTTCTCTGAAAACTAGAGGAGAGGGATCAAAGCACTTAGATTCCATCACCCTCCTCTTACAATCAATCAACATGGTGTAGACCCACATTCTTCAGCCAGATGTCCTCCAGATGTGTTGAGACTGCAACTCCTAAGAGCCATTCAGTTTAAGACTTCTAGGCATTGCAGTCAACACATATAGAAAAGGAGTTGTGAAATGAACAGAACCTATTAAACAGTTCCATCTCCAGAATAAAAACAGATTTTTACGTTGTCAGTTGCCCTTCTTTTCTGAATTCCACGCTCTAATTCCCATGATATTCTGCAAATAGTTTGATTATATCAGATATCACCACATATTCCCTGAAAATATACAATTATCTGACACCAAGAGTAGTAGACAATTGCGTTTGACAAATAATTGAGCGATTCCTTATTTCACAGTTATTTCCATGTAACACTCTTGAGATTTTCACGGTATTGGATAGACAGGTTGCAAACGTATGACTTGTATTATAGACTGATTGGTAACATACAGTGGTAACTGATATTTGATATCTGTCAGTTTATGACAATCCTTATTTAAAGCCTACCCCAACCAAAAATATATGCCAACAAGACTCAGAATAGGTAGATGTAAAAAAGAAATGCCTCAGATGCCAAAATGTTAAAAATCTACATTTGTAATGCCAAACTGTTGTAAATAGCCTCTATCATTCAGAACACTCCAGAGGCATGATATGGAAGGCTACAATTTCTGAAGAACAACACTTCCTAATGGCTGGCAGTCTGTACTCACTCACGAACGCGCACAGTATGTGGGTGCTCAGAACCTCCATGCTTGTCAATGGAGACGGAAAAACCCCGCTTGTTTTCGGAACATGCTGGAATAGACACCAGGGTGACAGTGTGTGGAATCCGGGTGCCGGGAGATTCTGGAAGCAGCTGATCCATCACGGGTGTCACCACCATCTGGTAATAACAGTGCCCACTGCAACATGGAAGAAAAGGTACCACAAACTTAGGACATCCATTTCCAAACCTCAGGATGAAAGAGCCCAAGGCTACCACCAGAAACTGACTGAAGAATGTTTTAAAAGCTTGCTGAGAAACACCAATATGTCTCCTCTGAAGGAGGTAACCCTCCAGAAACAGAAAAAAAGAAAAAAAATGAATAAGAATAATCATTCTTCTCTTTTCCTTTCTTTTCTATTTTTCTGCATACTTTTTATTCTCTTTTTTTCTTTACTATCCCTTCTTTCTGAGTTTAGTTTGTTTATAATTATTATTAGAACTTTCAAACTGAGCAAATCTCTCTTCCCCTCCCCCACCCAATGTGTGACCAATCTAATTTGTTGTTAATCTAATTTAGATTGTTCTTAATCTAAAGATGTGGAGACTCTAGAAAGAGTGCAGAGAAGAGCAACAAAGATGATTAGGGGACTGGAGGCTAAAACATATGAAGAACGGTTGCAGGAACTGGTATATCTAGTTTAATGAAGAGAAGGACTAGGGGAGACATGATAGCAGTGTTCCAATATCTCAGGGGCTGCCACAAAGAAGACAGAGTCAAACTATTCTCCAAAGCACCCTGACGGTAGAACAAGAAGCAATGGGTGGAAAGAAGCAACTTAGAACTGAGGAGAAATTTCCTGACAGTTAGAACAATTAATCAGTGGAACAACTTGCCTGCAGAAGTTGTGAATGCTCCAACACTGGAAATTTTTAAAAAGATGTTGGATAACCATTTGTCTGAAGTGGTGTAGGGTTTCCTGCCTAAGCAGGGGGTGGGACTACTAGAAGACCTCCAAGGTCCCTTCCAACTCTGTTATTCTATTCTATTCTATTCTATTCTATTCTATTCTATTCTATTCTATTCTATTCCATTCCATTCCATTCCATTCCATTCCATTCCATTCCATTCCATTCCATTCTAATTTACAGGGCCTTTGTTGTGAATTTAAAATTAGGGAAGATCCTAATCATCTGATTCAGCCAAATTCCCACTCACCAGTAAAGCTTGGATCGTTCCACCAGTGCGTAAGTGTCTCCATCGCCAATGAACACCTGGCAGTTCAGGCAGCTGAAGCATTCAGGGTGATATTTTTGTTCTCCAGCCACCTGGAATAGGAACAGATAGACATGAGCTCGTCTCCCTTCCAGTATACACTCCTCAATTACCATTTTTTGGGTGGTCCTTCCCACTATCCAGCAGTGTCATAGAGTTCCTGTTCAAAGGAAGAATGGCAAGAGGCCAAAGATTGTCCAGTCCTGAAATTCAACATAAGCAGGCTCAGGCAATGAAATTCTGATCCAGGCACTTCACACTGCCAGAGAGAGAGATTTGAGGAAATCATTGGGAGGATGATGAAAGGATCACATCTCAAAAAAAAAAAAGACATGCAGGTGGGACTCTAGGCTCACATAAGAGCAGAAGAGACCGGAAAGAAGAGGCAGATTGACAATCATTCCTGGATCAAATAATATTTGGGTAATTCATTAATTAACAAAACATTAAAGTTGCACAAATTAAGCAAACTTGCCCAGATTTGGACAGGGGGTTGGACTAGAAGATCTCCAAAGTCCCTTCCAGCCCTAAGATTCTTTGAATGGATTTAACTGGTTACTGATTAATCCATTTTGAGTTCATAGAGCACATTGATTTATTTATTAACTATTTTAATGCAACATAGACTTCTGAAGACTCCAGGTGGTTTATAGAATAAAAATATTTTAAAAATCAAATAAAATCTGCCCTGTGCCACCAAAGCCCAGTATTCTTCTCCTTCTTCTTCAAACTATTTAAAATATTCAGTCTTCTGGAAAATGGTCAGAGACCAAGTACCAAACAAACTTCAGGAGAAAAAGTGTTGTGAATCATATGCTAAGCAGCAACCAGGTCTCCCTCCTTCTCTCTTTCCTCGTGCTTCTTTTTGGGATGGGACTTTTAACAACCCTCTTTAGGCTGAATGAATCAGAGGAGTCAGTTCTGTTTGGTGTATGTGGCCCTTCAGGTACTCTCATGGTAAATCATGAAAATGTTATACAGTAATGGCCAAAATTGTGGAAACCTTTTGGGGAAAGTGTATTTTTGAGGTTTGATGGCTAATAATACCACTTTTTTTGGGGGGGGGGCAGTTTCAAGATAATCATATTTAACTGCTGGAATGGCCTGGGAATAGCCCAGACCTTAACCCAATTAAAAATCTATGTTGCCGACTAAAGAAACTTGTTAATCAGAAGCGACCCAGCAATAAAATTCAGTTAATAGAAGCAATCACTCAATCTTGGTTTCACATTATAACAGCTGCAGAACCAAAAGACTTGGTTCACTCCATGGGAAGATGTTGTAAGGCCGTAATTCATGCTAAAGGTTACCCAACTAAGTATTAACTGACATGATAATTTTTGTATATCTCATTTTTTCTATGATGATAATTTTTGTATATCTCATTTTTTCTGTGTTTCACTTTTCTTCTTTATACTGTAACTGCTATTCTAATAGCAAATCCTTCATAAAAGTTATTGCATTACATTCTTGATTAAATTATCTTTCCATTGATATATAATTTTATGGTACTACTCCCCCAAAAAAGTGGTGTTATTAGCTAGTTTTAGAAAATACACTTTCCCCAAAAGGTTTCCACAATTTTGGCCACTATTGTAAGTTACAATCAGCAGTTTGAATTGTCCTTGGAAGTCAATGCAGAATTCAGAGTACCACTGGACTCTGGTAAAAGCTCTGATGCTGGAAAAGGTGAAAGGAAAGAGAAGAACCAATTTTGTTGTATACATGATGTACAATGACAATAAAGGCTATTATTATTATTATTATTATTATTGGTTAATCTTTAGTGAGATTCACAGCCTTTGAGACTGGTTAATAGCTCAGCAGCTCGAGTCCTAACCAAGGACCTAGGAACTGTTAAGGTATCGTCGGAGGATGTAAGCTGTTCCGAGTAAGGTGGTTTTTTGTAGAGTCAAAATGTTCAAGTCCGGCAAATTTAGAATTTCTAAATAGCGGGGTAGCCCTTTGGGTATTGCTCCAAGGGCTCCAATTACAATCGGGACAACACACGATTTCTTTTTCCACAGTCGCTCAACTTCAATTTGCAAATCCCGGTACATCATCATCATCATTATTATTATTATTATTATTATTATTATTATTATTATTATGAGGGCAACCAGCAGCAAGGTGGCTAGACTCAGTTATGGCATTGATGGCACACCACTGGAAGATCTGAAGGACAAGGTTAGGGTCCGACTGTTATGGAGAAAATCTATGTGGTCGCTAAGAGTCGACACCAACTTGATGGCACATACACAGTCAATAAACCAAATTAATGTGATGATGGTGTCAGCCATCATCCCTGATGTACCAGTTCTAAGTCAAGATTATCCATACTCCAGGTTCCTTCTTCAGTGCTCAGAGCTTTGGTTTGATTAGAATTCTACCTGAAGTCACTTTCTCTGCAGGAGTCTCTTGCACTTTCATAATTGTCCACTTATTGTCTTATGATATTGGCAGCTGTTTCGCTCCTGTGCAGGGCAGCACATGCTGCTTGCAATTGCATCTCCAAACTTTCTTGGGTAATAGCTTTGCACTTTGCGATGGAGCAACAGCTCTGCTGTCTTGGACTCCGGACTGCCCTTTTCCCCCTCCTCTAATGCTTTCTTAAATTTTTCTCTATAGAAGTCTCAAGGCATCCCTAAGATCAGGTTCCTAAACTGCATTGGACTTATTGCCTTCTTCCTCTCCAACTTGGGCTGCTCTGATTCCAGCTTCCCAACTCATAGATCTTCAGATACTGTGTTTCCCCGAAAATAAGACACTGTTTTATAATTTTTTGAACCCTGAAATAAACGCTTGGCCTTATTGCCATGCGCTCAAAAGCCCGATTGGACTTATTATCAGGGGATGTCTTATTTTGGGGGGGAAACAGGGTACAATAGTTAGGCATTTATCTATCTATCTATCTATCTATCTATCTATCTATCTATCTATCTATTTAATTTATATTGCCACCTATTCGCCCATGGCCATTTGGGGAAGGTAGCTCTATTTCAGTCTTGCTGAACTGAATCAGGGAGTGTGTATGTGTATGTGTGAGAGAGTGAGAGAGTGAGAGAGAGAGAGAGTTAGAATTGAGTAGCTGCTATACATTGAATCTCCTTATCCAACTGATTGCAGCAGACGCTCTTTAACACTTTAGATCAGCAATGTTTAACTTTCTGAGCTTTTGGCACTCCAAACAGCTGTGCCTGGTGAAACCTAAGCAGGATCTTTAGATTTCTCCAGATCTTTCACGGAATAAGATCCATACTGTATTTAAAACTACCATTGTACTTTCCGTATTGTATTTCTTCAGGATTTGCCTCACATTTCCTCATTATCCACAGACACAATTACTTCTACCCCATAATTCATTCTGCCATATTTAGATCTATAACCATATGCTCCAAGTGCTAAATGCCATGGTTTGGGTTCACAGTTAATGTCACGTTGTAGATTTCCTTCCCTGCCCTTTTCTAAAAGGCTTTCTGTCAGTTTCTCCAGATTTTCCATTAGTTCATTCCACAGCTGTTGTTTTCTGTCTTAACCCAGAAATATTCAATCTCTTCCCCATTTCTGCAGACACCTCTGACTAGAGGACATACACATAATACGCTCATCCTGGGATTGACCAACAATTCAGTTTCCCTTTTAGGTTGGTGGTTTCCCATAAGTCTCATGACAATCTCTTTAAAAATTTAAAGATAGGTGTTTCCTCACTTTGCCACAGAAATAATTTGATTCTTTATTGTACAACCCTCTTTAGATTCTATCTAAATTTTTTAAATTTCTGTTATATTCTCATAAATTCACAGCAGACCTCTGAAGGATAGAGTGCACGTTCACATCAAACAAAAAAGCTCTGGTACTAATTTGAGGGTTTTTTTGTTTGCTTTCTGGCCAAGTAGTTACTTCCCTTTTGGGTATTCCTTTAAAATATGAATCAACAATTATTTCAAGCAGTGGCCACAATCATGTGATTTTTGCATGGTCAGAAATGTTAAAAATAAATATGTGTGTGTGTGTATAGACACACACACACATATATAATTAGATGCCTATATGCACGCACACACATATATATAGACATCTAATTAAAAATGGCCAAATTCTCATGCCAATTTGGCCTGCTGGGATTTCAGCCATTTTAATTTATTATTTTAAAGTATAATATTATTTAAAATATGTTATTTTAAATAATAAATTATTTATTATTTACGTTATCATAATAACTACCACCACTACTATTGTTATTATGAGTATTATGGATATCATCCTACTCATTATCACCATCATTATTTTAGAAGTCAGTGGGTTGCTATGGCGCTTATGTGTGCTACCAAGATCCAATTTAAATCAATTTAAAGATTTCAAGTTTCTGCCTTTTGTGTACTACAAGTATGAACTAGAGCGTTGCTTTAACCTATAAAAAGAAAACAACTCAGCTATATTTACCTTTGTGCATTTTGCTGAAAAATTAGATCACTGGCGTACATATTTCTTTATAAGATTTTTATTACATTATAAATAACTCAAAACAGCGAACATACCTAATATTCCTTTCTCTTCCTATTTTACCCACAAAGATAATTCTGTAATGTGAGTTGGACTTAGAGTGACTGGCCCAGCCACTTAGCCAATTTTTCATGCCTAAAGCAAGACTAAAACTCACCACCTCCTGCTTTCTAAGCCAGCATCTTCACCATACAAACTGGCTCTTTCCAGAAAGAGAGTAAGTCAAATGGATTTTGCATTTATAATAGCTGAGTTTGGACTCAGATGCTTCCTTTCCTATATTGTTCTTATAAAAATGAATATTTTCAAAAGCAACTGTTGTTTCCTTTGGACGTGCTAACTTGCCCATGACACATAATGCTTTGTGAGAAGGAGAGGTGGTTTGGCAATCAAACTTGAGTGTAATTGACAATACTGTTTTGTAGTAAGGACAGAGTTAACTAAACAAATGCAGACTAAGAAATGAAAGACAACCAGGAAACCATCGTGAAAGTAAGTGGAAACACTGCCTTGAGCTTATTAAAAACAATGAGAACAAAGCTTGATTAAAAGCAGCAGTGCTAGCTGGTGCTGGGACCTGCTGTTGGGGAACAGGGCTTAATGGTTCCTTCTGTGCCATTTCCCCAGGTTCTCACCTGCAAAGATGCTATAAGCTCTGGAGAGGGAAAAAAGAGCATATCCTGTTCACCATCATCTTCCACCTACATGACTTTGTTGGTTATGATGAGGTTGGTGCCAAGGACAGTCTACTTTCCCCCCCAATTCACATCTTTTTTTTCTGTATTGAAGTAACAAAATACCAAATAAAAGGATTTAAGGAGATCTATGCTCAGGCAGTAGCCTCTCATAGAATTTTTGTCTCCCTCCCTCTGCAAACACTGGTTGCTCCATATCTATTCTTCTTCCTCCTCCTCCTCCTCCTTGCCCCCCCGCTCCTCTTTTGTTATGTCCTCTTCTTTCTTCTTTCCCATTTCCAAAATGAAAAGCTGAAAACCAATGGAAGGACCTTTAGACTGAAGGGAGATCTGTCCCTATCCCCTTCGCAATGGTCATAGCATTTCTGAAGTAGCACCATCCAGGGAAAAAAAAAAGGTTCATGATTTGGTTACATGCAGTTCTGAATTCAGTTGCAGAGGTCTATTTCTTGCTCACTATTTCCACATCAATGGCCACAGCCAGAGGAAAAATATGCCAGACAGACCTAGCGATCAGAGATGTACAGTCAGGCCTTCATCACTGCCTACCACCTCTTAACAATCCATATCCCTTTAAAGGTGAGCTCTGAATTGTCTGACGAAAGGACAACATTATTAAATGCAGGGAACAATAATCACCGGAATTGTATTTCATGCAGTCAGTGTTATAATTTCCATTTAAATTAAATAATACCATGCTGAGTTTTTACCATGGCCCTACCCCGTTTCCCCCAAAATAAGACATCCCCCGATAATAAGCCTGATTGGGCTTTTGAGCGCATGGCAATAAGGCCAAGCACTTATTTCAGGGTTCAAAAAAATATAAGACAGGGCCTTATTTTTGGGGAAACACGGTAGTTACTTTTTTTTTCTGTCCCACTTGCTTTTTGGCTTGTGATCACTTGCCCCACCCACCCCAAAAAAACCAAGTTACGTCATCCGGTGATGCTCTGTGTGGATGTCCTCTCTTACCATGACAAGCCCTTTGGTGATCTGCTCCGAGCAGCCATGGCACAGTTCCCCAAAGTGGGCCCAGTAATCCTTTTTGCAGTAGAGACGACCATCCTTCTCGTAGTACTGATGGGAAAGCAAAGCCCCACATTCGCAGCACCTGCAGGGACAATAAGAAAATAGGTTTTTTCAGCCTCAGGACTTTGAAGGGAAACCTACTGCATGCAGAGATTCCAAAAGCAGAGCTTGAAGGAGGCATAATCCCACAGGTTCAGAGGAGTTGTGTTTGCCCAGCATGCTTAATTTAGGCTGCTACTAATTTAGTCAGACCAAATTACTCTTAGATTCGGTAGCACATGCTCGTTAGGTTAAGAGCCACCAATTTGGGAAAAAGAGAAACCTTATTCAGTTTCTCCTTGTTCCTGTGTAACACAGCATTGTTGTGGCCTGCCAGTGGCCAGTGGACCTGATGGCAGACTCAGACAGTGAGGAGGTTGGGGAGGAACATGGGCCAGTCCTGGAGTCTGGGGAAGGCTCTGATGAGTGCTCTGTGTCGGAGGCAGAGATAGGGCCAGGGTCGTCTGACAGTTGTCAGCTGCCTTCGGAGTCAGACATCAGTGGGGCAGAAGAACAGCTGGAGCCTGTTCCCAGTGTGGACATGCGCAAAGCTGCCAGGAGAAGGGAACAGCTAAGGAACAAGGGTCGACTCGTGAGTAAAGCCACAGGTGGATGGTGAATGGCTCCTCCCATAGGGAATAAAGAGGAGCGAAAGGGGAGGGGAATTTGCAGGAGACAATTAGTTCGCTTAATTGGTTCGTGACTCTCAGAGACTTCTTGCCAAGTTTTGAAGATATCGGCTTGGCAGCTCTCCAAGCCAGATAAGGTCTGTGACTGTAAATTCTCCCTTGAAAGACTTTGCTGGATGTGAATGAAAGGAATTCACAGTAACTTAATAAAAAGGGGTTTTTGTCGGGACAAGGAGTCTGCTTTGTGCTCTTGGGAAACCTGAAGTCCTTGCGTTGTCTTACTCCAGTGGCCACTTCTTGATTGCTTACACAGGGATCAATGAGTGCATCTTGGACTATTTAACCAATTAATGCTTAGATTCCAAGATTTATTAAAAAACTGGAATGCCATTTTTTTTCACCACTATCCACTCCTACAATATTGGGAAGACCAGTGGGCAGTACAGGAAGACGAGTCTAGAAGTGTGACCCCAGAAATGTGTGATATATAGTGTGTGACATATTGTGTGAAATCTATTTCTGGGTTCACACAATACAGGTAGTCCTCGGCTTAACAACACTTAACAACACTTCAATTTCACTTAGTGACCGCTCAAAGTTACAACGGCCCTGAAAAAAGTGACTTATTACCCATTTTTCATACTTATGACCGTTGCAGCATTCAATTTTAGGGCAAGTCAATTTTTTCGACTTTCAATTTTCAAACATTAGGGGTGCTCAAAAGTTGTGACATGTTCCCCATGATCACATGATTTACATTCGGATGCATGACAACTCACTCACATTTATGATGGTGTCCGTTGCAGTGTCCAGGGGCCATGGGATAAACTTTTGCGACCTTCTGACAAGCAAAGTCAATGGGGTTGCCAGATTCACTTAACAACCATGTTACTAATTTTACAACTGCAGTGATTCACTTAACAAATGTGGCAAGAAAAGTCATAAAATGAGGCAAAACTCACTTAACAAATTTCTCACTTAGTAAGATAAATTTTGGGCTCAATTGTGATCATAAGTTGAGGACTACCTGTATATCCTGACTAGGGGAAGCTGTTTTGGCTAAGGATTGTTCAAGAATACCTTGGAAGTGGAATGATCCGCCAGATCTAAAGTTAACAGTTTTGGGGTTCACCCAACAAACTGGTCTTGAAATGCTCCAGTAGTACTGTGTAAATGTTGCCCCAAGTACAATATTTTATGTCACATCATGACATGCTCTGCAGGCTAAGGGGGAGCAAATTTAAATGGCTAAACCATTTGACCATACTTCCCTAGGCAAGGGGCAGGGTGAATTTAGCCATTATGAGATTATTAAACCCAATCTTCCCTTTTGTGGATTGCTACAGTTCTGTTTTCCTGGACTTTTTAATAATCCAGCTGGGTCACCCAGAGAGGACTGTTTACTGGTACAATCCTGATAAAATTAAGAAGTATTGTAACTCTACACATATGTGGCCCTGGTACAATGAAGGTACCAGGGCCACATATCTACAATCTAGGATGGAGATTTTTTTTCGTTGACTCTTCCTTTCAGCTCAATGAAAGGAATCCATTCCAATAAGAAAAAGAAGGAACTTTATTCACCTCTGAATCATTTTTCGAAAGTGACCTGTCAATGCCCCCATGAAGCAGAGGATATGACGGCAGATTTGAGACTGACAATAGAAAATATTTCTTCACTCATTACTATAAATAATTCAAGGCCACAAATTACAGGGAGGGACTCTAGATGTCTTTATATGAGATTTGGAGAAACTGATTGAGATCAACCCAACATAAGTTCTGATGGACAAGAAGAACCTCAATTTCTAGAAAAAGTATATAAAAGCTAGGAGTATTCAGAAGTAACCTCTATTTCCATCCTTTTTCTGAGTATGGGAGGGGCCAGACAGGCATAGCTGCTGGGGATTTCTCCTGAAGAGAAGAGAAATGACACAGGAGATTCACTTCCTATTTAGATCTGGCCTATTGCAAAATCTCTGTTTTTTCTTCTCATACTACATGATGCACTGTAAAGATATTGTGTGGAAATGTTATTTGCTGGGCAAAGTATATTGTTTGGACACAACCCTTTTGTTCCAAAATGGATTTTGTCTATTAACATGATTTATAATTAACTGCAAGCATAGCATCTGGTCATTCCTTGGAAAATGAAGTCCACAAATGAAAAGTGGCACGGAGCTAAACACTCTCAGTGAACTGACAGATGTTGTAGCTGATGAATCAGCTGTCTTTTAGAATATGCAGCTAATCAATTACATTAAATTAAATTAAAGAGGGCTGTGAAAATATTTACAGATCTCTCACATCCTGGACATAAACTGTTTCAACTCCTACTCTCAAAACAACACCATAGAGCACTGCACACCAGAACAACTAGACACAAGAACAGTTTTTTCCCCAAATGCCATCACTCTGCTAAACAAGTAATTCCCTCAACACTGTCAAACTAATTACTAAGTCTACATTATTATTAATCTTCTCATTGTTCCTATCATCCATCTCCTCCCACTTATGACTGTATGACTGTAACCTTGTTGCTGATATACTTAAGATTTATATTGACTTTTTCCTAATATGATTTGATTGCTTATTTGTTCCCTATGACTATCATTAAGTGTTGTATCTTATGATTCTTGACGAATGTATCTTTTCTTTTATGTACATCAAGAGTGTATGCACCAAGACAAATTTCTTGTGTGTCCAATCACACTTGGCCAATAAAGAATTCTATTCTATTCTATTCTATTCAAATTGATCTTACCAAACTGCAAGGTACGGTAGGTACTCTTCTAGCAATGCACCAGTTTTGCTTCAGATAATAATAAAGGCATCAGATAATATGAAATGTATGAAATGACTAACCAGATGCAAAGTGGCTTCTGAAAATATGCAAGGACTTAGCTCTCTTCCCACATTTTTTGGAAATCCCATTAGTTTCTTGGTTCTGCTAAACCAGTGCACCAATTAAAGAATACAATAGAATAATACGTTATTGTCACTTTAAATGTACACTAATCAGCATACATTAAAATGAAACTTCCCTGCATTCAGCTTTCAAAGGATAACCATTATGCATATACCCAGATACACACACATATATGACATAGAGAAACATCACAGTCTAAAAGCTGTAGCAATTGGTATTCAACGAGCAAACTAAAACTTGCCAGTTTTGGTTGCCTTGTGACTCGCTACTCTTTCCACCGAAACAAAGAGGGACACGTTAATCATGCAGTAGCTCTTGCCATGTGCACATCCCCTTGCAGTCTCATCTTTGCTTATGTGGCCATTTTGGGCATTTTTGCTCTTCCCCCCTTCATCCATACAGGTAAAGTGAAGTTTTTATATTTTATTTAATCTAAGTATTTATTAATTCTTAGGTTTATTTCTCATGTAAAGTAATGAGAAATCTTTTTACATATTGCCTTAAAATGTGTGTTGATTTTGATTTAGGAATGCATTAAATTTATTTACATTATTCCTTATGGGTAAAATTTGTTTGGTACTCATTGCTTTTGATACACATTGTGCCTCTCGGAACCAATGAATGATGATTACTGAGGTGCCACTGTACTTGCTTCTGAATTTCCAGATGAAAAATTCTTCTGCTTTTAGGCCATTTGAAAGCAACATTTCCTTGACTGCATTTTTCCCCAGCCCAGTGGTGGCATTCAGCCAGTTCTATCTGGTTTGGGCGAATCGGTAGCGGCGGCTGTGGGAAGCTCTGCCCACCCGCCCGGATGTCATCATGTCCCATTTTTGATGCTCTTTGCATGCATGGAGGTGCGCACACTCCCATTTGCGAACTGGTAGCGAAGGTAAATGAATATCACCCCTACCCCAGCCCTTGACTTTATGCTTAATTTAGACATGGCGCTGGAAATAAAAGGAAAAGTCTCAAATATCTTTTGTACTGCTGCTCTCAGCTTCGTCTCCTTTGTCCTTGAATTCTCTGTTTAAGCTCTGGAATCAAATGACAGACTCGATTCGAACCTCTCTCTTCTCCCCCAGACCCCAATATTTCCTGCTTACAACAGCAGTTCCCGAAGAGCCAAGAGGGTAGATTTGAGGCCCCATCAGTCCCCTTAATGTGGTTTGCTTCATTTGGGCTCAGCATAATGTAGGAAACCAGTAACTGTGGCTTGCAAAGAGGCGCACATTATTTTTATCTTCAAAAGCCAGTGGCTTTTATTAAAAATAGTTCTAAATATTAACAGAAGTCACAGTAATAACCAATGGTGTCGTTGCTGTAAGGGGTGGCAACAATGGTATTTCCTTCTGCTGCCCTCCCTCCCCCAAGTTTGGGAGGTGAATAAAATAGGTACATTATGCCTTCAATTTGATTTAGCGTCCTCTGAAAAGTATGCTGTTACATTATGATTTACTCACTGAATTTTGATGACAGTGTCTA